TCATAGTTTTCTGTTTCATGTCAGCGCTCTATTTTGAGGTTATGTTACAAATAATAATTTGATTCAAATTATTCACGATTTTGATTTATATAATCTGTTATACCAACCTAAATTCTCCTACAATTCAAAAAGAAAACATAGCCTCACAATAGGAGAACGTTGACGGTGACACGTAACTGTAGAAATCTAGAAATACCACAACCTTTCTGAAGGAGAGAAAAGACTATGAAAATCAAGGAGGCCATAAAGGCGTCCTACAATTGTAGAAACGACTGACTTACGGCCCTTAGTAAAACGGACAGTTCACTGACATAATACGTCTAGGGCATAAAGGAGGCGTTTATGGCTTGTGGCGAGAAATTTGAGGCCAAGGCTACAGAATAAGTCCAATATTGAGAATAGCTTTTAAGTGTATGTATATAAAATAAATTGATTGTAAATACTATCTCACTGATGAGTGGGAGTAGTTGCAGCCATTGCCTTTTACCAGCAAATAAATACAAGTATACAGTTCTCGTTGCCGATGAATATAGGACACATACTACCGCTCGGTAAAAGATAAAATACAATACAGAATCACTGGTTTGATATATACCAACATATTATGGTTCAATAATATCCAAGAGTACTACAAAATAAATTGTGATTGTGATATCGTTCCTCTTTTTGACGAAATACACAACTTGGCAACACCGCATCAATAGAGAAGTCAGTAAGATGTGCTTTCAGCGTACAGTTAAGAGCTAAATTAATTGCATAATAATCTCACGTAAATAGTATTGATAGTATTTCAGCGCATTCATGAAATATTGCTCGAACATACAACCACCTCTGCATGGTTGCCACTTTTCCAATCTTCCTTATCATGGGGACAACGTCGCCCATTCTTTTGTCTCCGGTTGTACAAGAGAATATCAGATGTGGATGCATCTGCCAATCGCCAATAGATTTGTTCATAAATATAATAAATATTAGAGCTTATATCGAAAAAAATTAACATCCGTGTATATGTTATTTTCTGTTGTAACGACAACCCGAAAACCTAGGTATTTCAATAAATAAGATAGGTGATAGGTATCTAGGTACGTCTCCTAGAAAAAACATGAAATAATAACAAAAGACAAAACGCTGTAGAAAATCGGAGAATGCTTATAGTCGTGCACACATTTATTCGCGCTTATAAATCAATAACAGAAAATTCAGTGCCTGCTCCTATATTGGATAAAACTAACAAATTAATGAAAAATCGACTTACCTCTGCCTAGCATCCCTGTACCACTTCTTGCCGTGTGCATCGAACTTTTGTGCTTCCGTAAAATCCATATTTCTGAACATAAGGCTAACACTAAAAACAAATGAATTCACTGATACACAGAGGTTATATTTTCGCTTTTATGTGCAATAAAACTGGCAGTGTAAACGGCAAATGCTTCAAATGAAGAGTTCAAAATCATCTAATTCAAAACTATGCGGTTATTTTTGTTCTATCAAAAAATAAATCAAGTAGGTATGTTTCTTATAAATCGACATAAGTCAGCTTGCTCTCGTCGGCAAATGACTCGGCGCTAGAGTGTATTTTTATCTATAAAATAAAACCAGAGTACGACGATATCTGTTTACTTTGCAAGTGTTAACAATGGAATTTGTTGAGTATTTTTTAAGTAAATATCGCATAGAAGCAGTGTCGCTCATTGTCAGTTCATACAGCGTGTTCCTTTAACAAATAAGTTAAACAAATGCATATTAAAACAATGTTTTGCTAGACAACCACACTTACGACCTAAACCTATCAAAGATTAGGCAACCACACATACGGCAAGACAAATGTTTTAGAATCATTTTGGCACTTTATTTCGATACATTTAAACACACATTCATAACTAAACGCATACTAAACGGGCAGATAGCACTTCCCAGTATTTAAACAATGAGATAATTTGAAATTATATAAATTATGACATTGTATCATCACTTTTCGGCGATGACAACTGTGAATTATCGTGACGTCACGACACTGTTACATAATTCTGCCGTGCCGAGTAGTCGAAGCTAATCATAAAGAGATGAGTTTCGTTAAAATACTATTTGAAACATGTCTGTTAAACCGATATGATAAATATTTGAATCATTGTTTATAAAAATCAAAAATTTATCTAAAATTAACCACAACATATCTAGCAGTGTACACGAGATCACATTGGAACCTACCTCACAGTGGCGGCACAACTGGGAATGGGGTTATGAGGTTTCAGGGTTTATAAGAATATAAGCAATATTGTCAATCAATGCTCGAATTGAATTATACTATAAGATACGCTTTCATTTTGTTCTGTTTATGAAGTAGATTAAGGAAATTAGAAATCAAGATCAAAATAATCATTGCTCTAACATACGTGTTTGTCTCTCGCTCGCTAAACAAAATTTATACTCCAGTTCTGACAATTGTGCGACAGGTTGCCGAGATCCGCAAGAGATTTCTTTGTTTCAATTTTGCGCGGTAGCGATACAATCCTCCGTTATCCTCCAGCGAAATAAGAAAGCTGCGCTAGTAGCGGAGAATACAGACGGGCTTATTTCGTAAGGTTATATTTTCCTTATTCAGCCCTGTTGCCAGAATTTGTAAACCTGGATAAGCTTAATTAACATAAATTATAAAAATATACTGGCTCAAATATAATAGGGATATTTAGTCACATATAAAAATATATTATATTCTGCTGGTTTTGTGGTCACTTGTCCTGCTGTGATTTTATGATTCTAAAGTCTATTCGTTTCATCTCCGGCTTGGACACAAATATTACCGATACTTTTCTATGAAAAAAATTAACAAGGATTTCTAATTTCTTGGGCTTACGGAAGTACGGCAATAGTGTCAAATGACCATGGTTCACTTTGCTGCTCATAAAAGCTACTTTCTTCGACATTCGTTACTTGCTGTCGCTGTCAAAAATAACGTAACGGAAGGCTTGACGATTCGTTATCTGGTGACTGGTAATCCTTTTATATGTTCACGTGGGAAAGAGTACCAGCTACATCACGGATTCCACCGACTTTGTGCGCAAGATTCAGGACTTCGTAGTTGAACCCGACGACATCCTTGTGAGCTTCGATGTCATCTCCCTTTTCACCAAGGTACTACTGAGGGAATGCCTGGATCTGGTGAGCAGGATCTTCCCTTCTGACATCTGCAAGCTCTTTGAAATCTGTCTCACTGGAAGCTACTTCGTATGGGACGGGGGCTTTTATGAGCAGACAGACGGAGTGGCAATGGGAAGTCCACTTAGCCCAGTTATAGCCATACCTTTTTATGGAACACTTTGAGAAGAAGACGGTTGATACATCGGAGAACAAACCAACAATTTGGTTCCGGTACGTGGACGACACCTTCGTGATTTGGAAACATGGCACGGACAGGCTAAACGAGTTTCTGCAGCACCTCGATGACCGGCATCCAAGCATACAATTTACCATGGAGATAGAGAGTGACCAACAACTGGCCTTCTTGGACGTCCTAGTCAGGAAGCGAGGTAACAAGCTGGGTCACACAGTGTACAGGAAACCAACGCACACAGACAGATACCTGCACGCTTTGTCCAATCATCACCCAGGTCAGAAGTATGGAGTCATCAGAACCCTTACAGAACGAGCTCGAAAGATTTGCGAACCAAAGAACCTCCAGACAGAACTTGAACATCTGAAAACTGCGTTCGAAGCAAATGGCTACAGCAAGAGGGACATGGAAAGATCAATGCGCTCGAGATCAGCCAGGCCACGTGAAATCGAACAGCGTCCGACCACCTCTCAAGCGTATCTTCCATTTTGTGCCAAAAGTCACGGACAGGATTCGCAGAGTCCTGAAGAGACATGACATTAAAAAAATCTTCAAGCCTACGAAGAAGATCCAACAAACCATCAGATCGGCAAAGGACAAGAAGGATCCACTCTCAGCTGCAGGAGTCTACCGCATACCGTGTTCATGCGGCAAAGTATACATTGGAACCACGAAAAGATCAATGGGAACGAGACTCAAGGAGCACAAAGCAAATTGCCGGCTAGGACAAACTGAGAAGTCTGCGGTAGCTGAACATGCACTAAGCAATGGGGCCACAGGATACACTTTGGAAGCTGCAGGTTGCTGTCATCAGTCAACGGCTATCACAATAGACTGGTCAGGGAAGCTATCGAGATCCACAAACATCCAGATAACTTCAACAGGAAGGAAGAGACCCTCAGACTCAACCCGATCTGGCACCCGATCCTCAGAAACGCCCGAGCAGAGCCGATCGACATCCCGAAGTCAACCGAAGCGGAACAAGCCACGTCACCTACCCTCCGGTATAAATGCAACCTGCGCAAGAGAAATCGACTGTCTACATCCAGCATCGGAAATGGAAGGACCTCGGAAGAAGCTTGCCACTCGTGCTAGCGAAACGTTAGGAAGAAATTCCAACCGATGACGGCCTTTAGACCCGAATCAAGACAGCAGTTTATATTTTTTTTAGGAAATGTAGAAATACAATACTCGATGAAATCTGATGGTATGCTTACGCTTATTACGCTATTCGCAACATTTGGTGACATTACCATAATAAAAGTATGTACCGCCTCTGCCTAACTTCAGAGTAGGGAACCAGCATTTACCTGGATTGTTCCCAACAGTTGTTGATGTCAAAATTGTCGACATACTTGACAGCTAGCTGTCGGTTCGTGTCAAGCAAAAAATAAGTGTCAAAATACACAAAAAATAATTCTTAAATCGCTGATAAAAACACGTAAATAAATATTAACAAATATTCCACGATAACCACAGACAACGATCTGAGAATTTTAAGGTATGGTCTTTTTTCTCTCTGAGCTCATTTGTTACTAGTAGTAGGTATTATTATGTATGAAAAAATACGATCACAAACTGCAGTTATTTTATCTTCTTTGACTTGCCCCTATAATATGAGTATATAGTTATGAATGAAACAAGCAAAAAGTAGCACTTATGTTTTTCTAATATGAGTATCCTCATATTTAGGGTATCAACTGTCTAGTCCAAACAATCAATATCCAGATCTACCTTGTGATACTCTGTACCTAGTACTAATCACTTACCTAATTTCATCGTGGAAACTTATCATATTTAACTCTTGATATTTTAATTTCTTTCTTGCAGAATTTTATAATCCTCAATAATACCAAGTTAAGATGTCAAGTTCAGATAATGAGAAAGAGCAAAAGCCATCATCAATTCCATCGAAATCTTCGATGGAGATTCTGTCAGAATTATTTAGCACATTTCATGCAGAGCCGCCTTTGATAATAAAAAGAGAAAAGTCTGAGGAATCAGGGAAGAAACACAAAAAGAAGAAAAAACATAAGCATAAAGATAGGAAACATAAGAAGAAAGATAAAAAGAAAAGGAGATCAGGTAGTTCCTCTAGTGGTGGCAATTCTGAGGTAGACCTGGCTAAAATACTGATTAGGCAAACCAAAGCTGAACAAAAGATTAAAATCGAAGGCACCAGTGTTGAATTGGATTTGAATAATATTAAACAGGAAGTCAAAAAAGAAGATGACATAGGTTCAAGGAAAATTAAAGCAGAATATGTAAAAGTAAAGAAAGAAAATACTGATGCTGAGGCTGAAAATAAAAATCAAACTAGCATAGGTAATGTAGTCATAATTATTTCTTCTAATTCCATCATATTAGTAGACATTTTTAAGATATACAGGGTGACAGGTAAATAGGTGTAAAACATTTTAGGAGGTGATAGTACAGCTCCTTTGCTATCAAAATTAGTATATAATACCATACCCTATATTCAAAGGTTAAAAAGTTATGGAACATTTAATTTTTTTTTAAAAAACAACCCAGAGTACAGAGTAAAATAGTTGAGATAAAAAAAGTTGGTGATTAAACATTCTTTTTTTGGTGGTTTCAGGTTATTATTTAAATAAATAATTCTCATAAATTAAAAAACATATGAAAACACTACTGAAAACGTATTTATTTTCATTTAAATGTTAAATAAAAATTTTTATTTTCAACTTTCACATTAAGAAGTCTTTTTCTTTTAAAAAAATCATAATAAAGAAAATGTACAAATAACTGCAAAAACTTCCTTGTTTCATTAGGTTTCTAAAATGGTATAATAACATATCAGTAAGTAAACCATGTAACAAAACAATATTACTTTGTTCGAAAGGAGCGCCAAGGGCATTTCATTGTACTGAGCAGGTTAACCAAGCCTTTCATGGTTCGACCCTTTTTGTTATTTTTTGTGCCCTGTGCGGTTATTCGGGTTTAAGTATTCAGAATCTGTCGTCGCTCCTCGGAAGCAAGCTCTGCGTGTGTTATAAGTGGACAGGTTCATTCATGAGAGACGTCATGATGCTGGTAGACCTCGGTTGTTTGACGACGAAGATCGAGAGGCAATACTGGAATGCCATGGCAGAGACCCGACGATGTCTACACGAGTTATAGCAAAGCAGCTTGGTTTAACTCAGTGGAAAGTTTGGTTCGTTTTGCATTCGGCGAGACTTTACCCTTTCCATTACACACCGGTTCAAGTATTAGAAGAAGGAGATCCTGCAAGAAGAATTGATTTTTGTCGATACATGCTTCATCGGGATCAAGAAGAAAACGACTATTTAACTAAAATATTGTGGACCGACGAGTCTTAAGTTTGACAGAGAGGGGACAACAAATTATCACAACTTACATTATTGGGCCCCACGAGAGGCAAATCCCCACATGACAAAGCCAAGAGCCCATCAAAGATTTTCGGTAAACGTGTGGATGGGAATCATTCATACGTATCTAATTGGACCAGTTTTTTTGCCTGACAACCTGAATGGCGAATGCTATGAAAACTTTTTGAGATCCGAACTCTGAGAGTATCTCGAAGACCTGCCTCTGAATATCAGGATGCTGGATTGGCCGAGGTGGACCGACACCGTGGCTAGCGAGGAGCCCAGATTTAACACTGTGTGACTATTATTTATGGGGGCACATGAAGTCACTGGTGTACACTGAGCCCATAGACACTCTTGCACAGTTGAAAGAAAGAATTATTGCTGCTGCTGACACTATCAGAGGACAACTAACTGGCCGCATCACGCGTACCAACATGAGAAAAAGACTACGGGCTTGCATAAGAAACAGCGGGCGTCAGTTTGAACAACAATTGCAATGAATTTTACCTTCATTTCATTATTGTATTTTACTTACCAATTGTAGTAACTTTTAGTCAGTTTTTATTATTCTGTAGTACAATTACAACTGTGTAAATAATCTAATCGTGTAACTTAACCGTAGTTTAAAATAATAACTATCCCATAGCTTACAGTTACATTATTTTCACAAAAACACTTTCTTATCAATCAGAGAGTTGTGAAAATAGGAGACAAGCCATTGGTAAATTTACTCCCTATTGTTGTATTACAATACATTATGTTTAGTTTCACACAGTTTTTGTGCACTTATCATACCAATTTAGATTCCTTATGAAACAAGGATATTATTTAAATTGTTTGTATGTTTTTTTGTATACTGATTTTTTTGTAAAACACCTTACTGTAAAACGTTATTTGTTTTTCTTAGTTAAACATTTTTGAATGAAAATAAATACGTTGTTTGGTATTGTTTTCGAATCTTTTTTAATTTATAATAGTTAATTATTGAAATAATAACCCAAAACCACAAAAAACAAATGTTTAATCGCCAACTTTTTTCTCTCTCGACTTTGTTGCTCTGAAATATGGATTGTTTTTAAAAAAATCTTAAATCTTCAATAACTTTTCAACCTTTGAATATAGGGTATGGTATTATATACTAATTTCGATAGCAAAGGGGCTGTACTATCACCTAAAATGTTTTCCACCTATTTACCTGTCACCCTGTAGACACATTATTTAATAAAGAAATTTCATTGAGTGTTTAAATATATCCGCAAACAACTTGCAGAGCTGTTATTTCAAAATTGTAAAGAGCTTTTAAATGAACTGTTAATTTTTGAAATATTTAGGCATTTGATAAATTTTTTCATGACTACTTTTTGACCAAGACTGATTTTTTAGCTTTTTTCTACCATAAGTACAAACAAAATCTTTTATCATTAGATATGTTTACAAATTGATCATATATTTTAGATGACGAAAATAATGCTGCAGATAATAGGAATGGAAAGAATAAAATTGTCATCAAGGACCTCAAGTCATCTTCTGTAAGTGAAGTCCTGAAAGAAAAAGAGAGAGAACATTCAGAAGGAGAAATTGTTGATTCTGATGATGATAGAAAGAAAAAACGCAAGAGCAAACATAAACACAAGTCTGACAGAGATTCAAGAAAACGTAGCAGGAGTAGGAGCAAGGAAAGGAGTGATAAAAGGGCAAAAACCAAAAGTTACAGTAGCAGAGATAAGGATAGGCAAAATGATAGACACTATTCTCATAATGATTTTTACAAGGGGCATTCGAGTCGAAGTAAAGATGATGAAAGAAATAGAGAAAGAGATAGACATAGAGATAAGTCAAGAGATAGGTATAAGGATGAGTATGATAAGGAAGTGGAAGAGTACAAAAGGAGTAGAAATAGAGAATTAGTAAAGGATGATGGGTTTTATAAGGGTAGAGATACGAGTGATAGAGATAGTAAATGGACATCTTCTAGAGATAGGTGAGTTTTACATATTAAATGCCACCCTGAGTTTTATTCAATTTACATGAAATTATTTGCTATTATATTGAAGTCTGACAGTTCTATATATATGTATATATATATATATATATGATTCTTAGTTATTGTCGATAATATCTAGCTAGGTGAAAGACTTGTCTTTGGGGATATCGACAAATTGTGCTAAGTGTACCCTTTTGACTTACAAATACTCAAGCTTTCGACAGGCCATGCTGCCATCATCAGGAGCTTAAAATAAAATTGAAAATAGTAAATTGCAAACCATGCTCAATTGATTAGAATTTCGTTACTTACTCCATCAATGAGATTGGTGCTAGTTGATGTTTTAAAATGTAATTGGGAACACAAGGCAAGGTGTGTAAATCCACTTTTTGATCATCAAACGGTCGATGGAAATCGATATCGGTGGATGTTCGCTCATTACATCTGCAAATGCGTGAAATAGGTCTTGATGGTTACTGGTTTCAACAAGACGGTGCGCCATGCCACACTGCAAATGAAATAATCTAGTTTCTGCAACGAAAATTCCCTGGACGTCTGATGTCAAAGAGAGGTTACATTGACTGGCCACCCAGGTCTACAGATTTGACCCCACCGGACTTCTTCTTGTGGGGTTATTTGAAAAGTCAAGTGTACGCCTGCAAGCCCCAGACCACTGAAGAACTCAAGAGAAACATTCTTACCGTAATCGCCGCTATACCACCAGAGATGCTCGAAAAAGTAATGCAGCAAAACGGGCACATTTTGTTTTGGCCAATGAAGATGTCCACTTGATGTTGTGTTCAAAACTAGTCCGCATAAATTGTAAAGGACCATATTTAATAAAAATACCCGATATATGGAAATAAATTTTTGGTTTTCAAAGTTATTTCATGTTTACATACCGACATAAAAGATGGCGCACCCTGTATATAACTTATTCATTTTCTGAGTTAAAAATAAGAAATGCAAATATGAATGATAACGTGTTACTGAAGACAAATGTTCTCATTTTTTCCAAAAAAATATTTTAAGATAATATAACTTGCTTGGGGAAAAAATCAGTTCCAAGTTGACTTATTTGCTTTGTACCATATATAAATATGCTTTATTATCTGAAGAATACAATCATTCTTAATGACAAGCTAACTTACAACTAAACTATAACATAATTGAATAAGTGGATTTTAAGTAAGTAAATTGTAGAACACACACATGGTATAATAGTTAGACAAATAACATATTAGACAAATTTTTAAGTTCATGACAGAATATCTTTAAAATTTTTTTTGTTAGCATAATCGAGAAATGTGATTATAGAGAACAATTTGATAATTGCCTAAAAAATATTATTTATTAGATTTGAAAAATATTCCTTCTTCTACCAATTTATTTAAATAATCTCTCTAATTTTTCTATCACGTTTGTTTTATTCCAGATATAGGGAAAGAGAACATGAAAGAGATCGCAAGAGAAGGTCCACCTCTAAAGATAGAGAAAGTTCGTCTAAAATTGATAAGAAAAAACTTCTAGAAATAGCTAGAAGAAATGCCATAAACATGATGAAATCAGGTAATCTACCAGCAGCTCTATCTTTAGGCCCACAGGCTCAAGAGAAAGTGATAGCAGCCATCAAGTCTGGAGGCAAAACTATAGAAGAGTTGACTGATTTCTGCAAGACTTTATCCAAGAAAGAGGAGCTTGGTGAATTGTCCAGTCTTTCTGAGAAAGATGATAGTGATAGTGATACTGATAAGCCGTTCCATCATCCATTCCAAATTAAAGATAGACCAACTTCAATCACAATGAACATTAAGGTAAAAAAGAAACCTACTGTCTGATTATGGAAACAGTAATTTTAATTTCGGAGTTGCTTTTTCCAGGTACATCTTAAATTGTAAAGAGTTATATAAATATCTCAGATATGCAATTTTGATTAGACTTTTGCACACAGTCGGACTGAACGCCAGGAAGACAAAAATAACATTTAAGTCAGCATAATTATTTGAATGATTTTTCGCACAAAATAAAATAGGTCATTTACATGTAGAATTCATGTGGTATGGATTACGAAGATATTATATTTGACTCTACTATTTTTCGTTACAGAATTCCGTGCCATTGCCCGTAAAATCCCTCGTAGAGCGCACCAGCGAGCTGCGCATGCAATTCCCCGTGAGCAGCGGCCAGCAGCACCGCAAAGGGGAGGAGTGGCTGCCCGTGTCCCCGGCCACAGCGAACAAGGCGGAAGACAAGCAAGCTCCGCCCCGTCCAACTACCTCTGTTCCATTGGCTGACGTACCGCTACCGCCACTTCCGATCGAAGCTCCGCCCGCTGCGCCCCTGTTGCCTGCTGTTGTACCGCCCGTTGCGAAGGCGGTGGCGGCTGTGGTAGCGCCTGCGATTGTGCCGCCTGCTGCCGTTGCGCCACCTGTGGCAGCGCCGGCAAGTGTTGTGGCGCTTCCTGGGCCGCAAGTATTTCCATTGACAGTTGCTGGACAGGTGAGTAGGCTGTTTTTGAGGATATAAAAATAGAGAGTCTTTAAGATGAAAGGTGCTTTAGGCAAAGAGAGACCGGCAGGGTATTATGTAAAAAAAAGACGTCAAAAAAGGAACAAAATGTCACCTTGCAGAATAGGTAGTTTTTAGTGTGCAAATAGTTTGCTCGATATGAGTGCCATCAAAAGCGTCCATCTATGTATAAGTAGTCTGTAGTGTTTATCTCTGAGAAGATGTGAAAGAAGGTTGGTTGAATAGCAAGATCGCGTCTGGATGATTATGTGTATAATAGCAGTGATATTTGCTCTGTGAGAAATTATTACTGAATATGCTGCCAATGAAGTATATCTATTAGCTGTGCCCGACGTGTTATTTATATCTATTGTCCTTTCTGGAGGAACAGCATAGGGCAAACTATCATTCTACTATCATTTATTAAACGCGTGTCTACATCGATTCGTTTCGTTTTTCAGCAACAAGTTGATATTAGCTCTATAGTGTCACAGAGGCTAACAGCAATGAGAAAATTGCAAGAAAACCCGCATGATGTCCAAGCTCTGACCCAAATGCACAAAATTAACAGAGAGGTAAGCAACAATATTTGACTTATCATTTTAATATACTTGCCTGAAGCTATTTTCGTTGATCTACAATTTTTTGTTCAATCATCAATTTTGATTGAAACATGTCATGATACACTGAATATTGCAGATATCTGCTGAAACCGAATACTTGCTCTATTTACCCTTTTTTCGCTTGAAGGGTTCTACTTCGTCTATGCGATTTTTGAGTTATGTATCAAGATTATACACTTTCAGATGCAGTCTTGGGCTTCTAGTAAACAACAGTTTGGCCAATTTACCGGCACAACAGGAGCAAATATCCTGTCACAAGCAGAGCTATCGTCTGGATTTCAAGCCTGGGCCAAAAAGGTATTAGTGGCCGGATATATTACTGTTTCCTTTTTTGCAGGTATCAAATGGAATTGGAAAAACACTTATCAGATTTATGTTCGTCAAACTTAAATGATTTGAAGTTTTCATATGAGGTTCTGAGAACAAGTTGGAATACTTTAAACCATATACCCATAATACAGGGTGTTTCAGTTTATTGTTGCATAACTTTAAGATTCGATAGATCTTTTAAAATTAATGCATAAAGCCTATATAAACATGGGTCGAAAAATGCGTGGCTTCCGAAATACAGGGTGTTTAAATTTACTTCTAAAATAGTTTTTTTTTTAAATATTTCGAACAATATTTGATGTATAACAGTGAAAATTGGTATACAAGCGTTTTTTTGGTACGACAAAACGAACCATGGGTATAGTTTTGCTGTAGCCGCTAGAGCGCGCTCTCTACTGTTCCTGTAGTGTATTAGAATGACCGAACATTTTTTCTTACTGCAATTTTTTGCTTTAGATATTTCGATTTTTAAGGTTCGATGAATTTTTAATTATTTATGGGAAAATGATATTTTTTTACATTTTCGATTTGGGCGTTACAAGTAATTAAGATGATCGTTTAGATTGTGTTTTTAAACACAGCAATAATTCCTAACTCCAAATAAACACAAAACACAGAATATTAATTTGTTTAATTTTCCAGTATTATTTTTAACAAATTAAATTAATTATTTACAACTAAAATGCTATTGGATAGTTAGGACAAACATACAAAATCTAAAGTAGTTGCTCGAAATGTAAACCCAATTGTTCAATACACAATTCACATCTACGAATGATCGAACGTGGTATAGCATTATTCAAATAAGGCCTTATTTCATCACATGAATTCCTGATTTTGCCTATTAGCATGTCTCTTGTGGTTACGGGAGTCTGGTACACTTTTTCTTTTAGAAATCCCCACACAAAGAAATCTAATGGATTTATGTCAGGGGATCGTGGAGGCCACGGCCGATCCATCTTTCTGGATAATTTTCGTCCAGCCAGTTTCTAACTATTCTCGAATAATGAGCTGGACAACCATCAAGCTGGAACCAGGCCAATCTTCTTAAATCTAACATAACATCATCCCACATATTTGCATGTTCTGCCTTTAAAAATTCCAAGAAGGTCGCAGCATTTAACCTTGCAGGCAAAAGGTAGGGTCCAAATAGTCGATTACGGTAGATACCAATCCACACGTTCACACTAAATTCATGCTGAAAATTTCTTTTCCGAGCTGCATGCGGATTTTCATGCGACCAAATATGTTGATTATGAAAATTTACCACTCCACGTCTAGTCAAGCATGACTCATCGGTCCATAAAACGTTACTTAGAAACTCCCTATTATTATCAGTTCTATCAAGAATCCACTGACAAAATGTGATTCTTCGTTCTCCGTCCCCTGGCTGTAGTCCTTGAACAGGTTGCAAATGGTAAGGACGTCTATGGTCATTTCTAAGAACACGGTGAACATGGCTTGCTGAAATTCCCAAGGCACCAGAAACTCTCCTAATACTTGTGGTCTGATCTCTATCAAACTCACGCAGAACCATTCGGGTAAATCTGCGCTGACGAACATTTATGTTTAGATCCCTTTGCAGATTTCCAAAACCATTTTCAATTATTTGGCGATGCACTCTTACAAATACTGAGCGAGTTGGATGTCGTCTGTTTGGAAATCTTCGTGCGTATTCTCTGGCTGCGTGTCCATTTACAAAGCCATACACAAAATGAATATCCGCTAACTCTTGATTGGAGAATAAAGATGGCATTTTTATAAAACTTACAACAAAATACAGGTAAAAGAAACTAAATTTCGTGCATTCACAATTGCAAAAAACGTTTCAGGTTTCAACAAACAACAAAACTAACTGTCAACTAATTGACGTTTAACCTTATTCTGCTTTCAATTTCAAAAATATTTGCAGGCACAGCCTACTTCTAAGAATTATCGAGAGACTGACTTTTTAACGTTATTTTATCATAAATAATTAAAAATGCATCGAACCTTAAAAATCGAAATATCTCAAAAACGGCTAACTATAACGAAAATTCACAAGAAAGCTTTTTTATGTTGAAAAGTGCGAAGAATCAGTTTTTTTATTCAAAAAGCAAAAAATTGCACTAAGAAAAATTTTTCGGTCATTTTAATACACTACAGGTACAGTAGAGAGCGCCCTCTAGCGGCTACAGTAAAACTATGCCCATGGTTCGTTTTGTCGTACCAAAAAACCCTTGTATACCAATTTTCACTGTTATACATCAAATATTGTTCGAAATATTTAAAAAAAACTATTTTAGAAAGTAAATTTAAACACCCTGTATTTCGGAAGCCACGCATTTTTCGACCCATGTTTATATAGACTTTATGCATTAATTTTAAAAGTTCTATCGAATCTTAAAGTTATCCAACAATAAACTGAAACACCCTATATAGTGATCTTTAATAAGTTGTGAATCAGTAGTTCTTTTCTCAGTACCTCATATGTATTCCAGATGAGTTTGAAAGTTCTTTAATTCAATCTTGAAAATTGGTAATGAAACCATTTAATATGAAGACAAGAACTACCTTAAAGTCTACAGTAGATAGACACAAGGATTATCTATGCAATATTAAATAGGTTGACTAGTCAATATACATCGCTAGTGAATAGCATTTTTGAGACTTTTTTACGCTTTTTTTCGCGGTGGTTTTCAGCAAAAAACTCAACCGGGTAAATATCAATTTCAATGAAACGTCACGCGTTTTAAATGGTTTTGTTACAGTCTGCATGCCTTAAACAAATTTTCAGGTTTGGGCTTTTTCTAAAAGTGCCCTCCTACCGCAGGCACAGACCATTTCTTGACATAGAGGTGGAATCTGTGCCTGTACACTAGACACATTTTACACCCTCATAGTGAAATGCGTTTAGTAACGAGATTTCGTAAATTAGAAATCAAAACCTGGTTTCTAATCTGTGAAATCTGCCACCTGAGAATTTGTTTCAGGCCGTTATAGCGTTATATCAGGGTGCACCGAACGGACACGTTGCCATGGTCATAGAAGTTAATTGGTAAGTTTTTTAGTTGCTAGAACACCAGGTAAATACAAGTTTGGATTTGTACATATTGACAATGTTTGAACCAAAGTGTATTGACGCGAGTTGTAGGAGCACTCGGCGGTTAAATCAGTCCCCGCCCACGAGGCAACCCTTCGACTGAGGCAACCCCTTCGCCGAGACTGCCCGCCGCTGAAAGAACGTCTGACACCTGGGAAGATTGGCGCCGCCGCTTGTGCAGTTCGAACTTGAAAGATTTTTCCGTCAGTGATCCTATTTCTCTTGAGTCTCTATACTTATTTGAACATTGTTGACAAGTATACAGGTATAGTTCATGCATCTATGAGTATGAACGTCAATTTTTTTCTTCCAGTGTCCAAGTGGGGTAAAATGTGCCGCTTCAAAGCTTGAAGCACCAGGCAAGGGCGTACCCTAACTCAAAAATTAAATAGAGAGAACATTTTTTATAAAAATTAAATTATCCATTCAGGGTTCTCCACAAGCTGAATCAATATCTATGAGATGAGGAATTACTAGGGTTAGTTGAAATCTGTGTTAGATATAAATTTTGCTAAAAGCATTATACCCGTATATGTTAAGTGTGCCTTTGGGATCTCGGAAACGGTAAAACGAATATCACACGATCATTATTTACTGTGGTACGAACCATCAGTGGATTTCTGCGTAACATTATGCATTAATAATTACATGTAAATAAAAAAATGGAACTTGGACAGTTTGGAAAATCAAAGTATTTCCCAATTTACTCTAAGTGGTTTTTATTTTTTCCTGACTTTAGTCCGAAACAAAACTTTTCCAACATCCACATTGTCTACAAATTTCAAACAAATTACACAATAACATTCTACATGGTGTCAGCAAAGTTGGGGTTTTCCTTTTCAGAAACAACTACCCTTGAAATAACAAATGTAATGTGTAGTGAAACGAGGGCGACCAAGTAAAAAAAAAATAAAGGAAAAAGTACTCACTCTCCAGTTGACGAGAAGGGCTAAGTACGTCTCTGCCCGAAATCATACCGCTCCAACAGAAAATGAAATCAGCTGATGCGCTACCGAGCAGACGCACCATGCCAGCCCAAACATTCACCGAAAATGTTTGTTGAAAATGTGCTCGACGGACAGCGTGCGGATTTTCTACTGACCAAACATGACTGTTGCGAAAGTTATTCACCCCATTACGCGTGAATGTAGATTCGTCTGTCACCAATATGCACTTCAAAAAGTCCGGATTATTGTCATGTTGATGCAACAACCACTCACAAAACCGCACTCTTGCTGGAAAATCGTCAGGTTGAAGGGCTTGTACACGTTGGACGTGAAACGGATACAGCCCCTCTTCACGCAGCGTTTGCCACACTTTAGTTTTTGATACTTGCACTTCTCTAGCCACGTCTCTAGTGCTTGTTGAGGGATTCTCGTCTACGCGATTACCTCTACAGGCGTGACCGTAACCGTCGGTTGAAGGTTGCATACTGACCTGACACACTGACCCCGACCCAGTTCTGTCGTCGGGTTGAGCCAGTGACCTTGTACCAGTCGGTGATGTCGCGGCTACAGGACGGTATTCAGATATTTTTGATGTTGCAGAGCCCTTTATCTCGGTTCCCTTAAGACATTGGTTTATATGGTACTAAGAAAAATTGCTTATGTTTTCAAGATCTACACGTCATGTAAAGGAAAACCCCAACTTTGGGGACACCCTGTATGAAATAAATGGCTATGATAACTTCGAGGTTTACTCAGGAGACATTCTTTTATAACAATGTATGACTTGTTATAATATTAGAAATCAGAATCAAAAGCAATTCGCCTATGCCGAAATAGCACACATAAGAAAAATCAACGTTGAGACGGAGGATAAGAGATGAAAACCATATTAATGTTCTATTTATGCCAGCTTGCAGAGGTAATAAAGTGGCAATGTATTTTGAAATCCTATCTCAAACAAATTTAGAAAATATTAGAAGCGATTTTGGGGAAATTCAGATGCATTTTCGAAAAATATATGAATTCGAAACTTGGCCACCATTCAACCAACCCGTATCTCTTACCGTGTCGGAGATCACACTGGTGAAAGTATCACAAATTTGTTTTTGAGATTGAACATTTGTCATATACTATCTCAAGTGTTGCTTTCAATTGCAAACTGCTAAATTAATACTTAAAAAAGCATCTCGCGCAATGTTTGCTCTAATGTTTCAAAACAGCATTAGTAAAAATAGATTTCTATATCCATATGAATTATCAAATCGTAAATTTTAAGGTCCCTCTTAGGTTTTGAGCTGGGTACGCCCTTGGCACCAGGTTACAGAACATCTGACTGAATGCTTAAGGAATTGGGAGCTATAAAACAAACAGCTTGGTCTTTGAAAACACCGATTCATCATCAAAATGTTTTGGTATGCGAAAAAGTTGTAACAGTATCTGGAAAACAAGAAAACGCTTAAAAGTTTGATCAGAAAATTCTCCATGTATTTTCGCTGATGAATCTGATACCTATGCAAGGATCTTACAAGAATTTGACGAAAGAAATTACAAACATCTAAAAAAATGTTAAGGTCCGAAAACTATCATAATTAATCACAATACTTCCCTCGGCTATAGCATATGAAGCAAAAAACTACTCTCTCAAAATTCAGTAATTTGCTGAAAGGTCAAGTATTTGCTATAAGAACTGGTACTTACTTTTTTAGCCACCCTATTCTGAGAGCTTACTTCTTGTTTAGTTGCTTCATTATTAAGTCTTAATTCCCGATTATTTATTTCTAACTATAAACCTTACAGCGAGAATTTACTTGATTTTTCGCGAATATGAAAGCATTCGCTACGTCTGGTATCCTTGATTAACATAGTCTACGAGAAGATATCGAACCCCATTTAAAAACCTATGAAATAGAGTAGACTCTAATGGGGGTTTTTAAACTCTTTTTCAATTAGATATTGTTGTCTGTCAATTGGCAAGTAGATATTATATTGTAATAACTATACATTCCTTGGCCTCCGCAATCTATTTTCCCACGTCTCAACACAGCTAATTATTTTAAAACGACACAATCAAACAACTTTTTTGGACTTTTGGCAAGGATTTTTGATTCCTGAGGCACGCCTATGCATATCCACGTCGTTTAAACAGACAGGGTTCAAGGAGTATTCCCTCAGCAGCCACAACATGATCACTATCATAATATTCACATTATCTCGACAGAAAAGCAATAAAGTCTTTCCCCGTTCTCGTTAAAATCAAAATGATATTTACAGCAGTGCAATGATATTTCCGAAAGAGGAAATTTTATCGACCCTGTTATTAAATATATGAAAAAGTTTTTCTGGAGCTGATATGCCCGTACTTATATATCTAGGCACAAGAATGAACCATTTTTATCCATTTTTGCCGCAGAGCATGACTATCTTCTTGTAGATTACGTTAACGAATGCTGATACGTAGGCAACCAGACTTAACAAAGCAAAACTGCTATGGACCGTTCTGACGTATAATGATAGAAATATGGATTCAATTGCTTCATTCGAGTTTCCACGGGGAACTATCCGCGAACCGTTCTACTTGCAAATAAACAAATCATAAAATAACAAACTCGGAGACAGCATAGTAACATTTACTTGCAAGACATTATTAATATTTGAATACTACTTGATATGATTTGATATCGTATTGAAAATGCGTAGACCCAGTATTTTAGGAGATTTGGCATCGATTTTATAATTGGATTAACATATTTAAGTCCAGTACGAATTGAAATTATTTTTTGTTAATAAAAGTATACACGCCAATTCATATAAAAATAAAGATGGTTAAGTCGATTTGTTTGTTTAAGATTTATTTAGCATGATTGCTAGAATTACATTCTTCTAAAAAACGAAACAATTACATAACATACAGACATTCAGAAAAAAAAAACAAAATTTGCATCTCTAAGAATTTTCATTGCCCATGAAATATTCCTGTAATCTTATTTTAAATAACTTTAAATTACAAGTAAATTTTATATCATTATTTAGTTTATTAAATTCAAGTAATCCTTTCTGAAATATTGAGTTGCTAGTTATGTTACTATTGCAATTTTGTAAATGAAAATCTATATTTCCTCTTGTATAATAATTGTGGTAATGATTATTCAATTCTATGTTCTGGCAAAAGATGATTTTTTATTTTAAATATAAAAATAAGAACCAAATATGAATATTTTTGTATTCAACCACTGCAATTCTTGTAACATAGATTTTATTTTGGTGTACTTATTTTTATTCAATATTATTCTCATAGCTGTATTTTGCAAGACTTGTAATTTTGAGAATACAGCTTCATTGGCTGTGAACAAGATAGTTGAACAATATAGTAAATGCGGTTGAATAATTGTATTATAAACTATTTTCGTGGAATAGGTACCAAGACTATGAGAAGCCCTATAACAGTAATTTGTTTTTTGTCAATTTTTGAAATAATGTATTCTTAGTGATCCTCAAACTTTAGTTTACTATCAGTATATATACCTAAATATTTAATTGATTCAACATTTTCAATGATTTCTCCATATATCCTGTGATAGTATTTTCATTTGGGTATTTCCTATTAGCTTACATTTTATTTTAGCAGTATTCAATTTTAGTTTATTTACATTTAACCAATTTACGATTTTTGACAAGTCAGAATTTAGCATTTCTAAAGCAGTGTCTGTATTTTCATCTGATATATAATGTATAAAATAAATAGTAGTGGACCTAGTTTACTACCTTGTGGTATACCAACGGAAATATTTTTTGATCTTGATAATGTAGATCTAATTTTGGTTTTTTGACTTCTGTCAATTAAATAGTTTTGTATAATTTTGAATACAGATCCTTTAAATCCGTAGTGATGCAATTTTGTAAGTAATTTATCGCTGTCAATAGTCTCAAACGCCCGTTTGAAGTCCAAAAACACTGTTATTGTATGTTTCCGATTGTCAATAAATGCTTACAAATATTTTTACAAAAAAGTGTGTGACGGGACAGAATAACGGAAGCAGCTGAAGTTGTTAATAACGGAATCGCAGGATGTAGATTTTCCCGATTTTTTTCCAAAGCCTATGGACCATTTGAAGTATATAAAAGGGAAATTGAACGTGAGAGGGAAAAAATTAGTTATGCAAATGAATAGCAACTACTAAGCTCAGATTTGCAAGACGTGGCTAAATCTGTAAGTGATGAATATAACTCAATATACCATTTAAACATACAAGGAGTCCTGAATAATATAGATGAAGTTCAACAGTTTTTAAGATGGAGAAAACCACTTGTATTATGTCTTACCGAAACACATGCTACAGAAGACATCACTGATGGTGAATTACAAATTACTAATTATAAAACCTACAGGTGCAACTCCAACTCCAGACATACTGAAGGTGTAGTGATTTATGTTTACCACAAAATACAGATCACATTATTCTATTGTCCCACTTTAGACTATGCATACTGGTATGCACATATACAGTTCAAATTATTTGGGAAACGTTATGATCTTTGTACTTTTTACCGTTCACCAAACAGCGATGCGGATACATTTTTAACGTTTTTTGAAGAAAAATGCGAAGAAATGTGGAATTTTAGAAACAATATAATACTTTTAGGTGATTTTAATTTAAATTATTATGGTAAAAGCATGAAAACAAGAAAATTGAAAGAAACCATAAACAACTATGGGTTCAAGCAAAAAATTGAAGAGAGTACCGAAACAAATTCTTTGGTGATTGCAAACAAACTAAATGAATATTTTGTGAAAAGTATTATTGATATTATGGGTGCTGCCAATGCTGCACCTGACTATATGAAAATCAGTTTCCAGGGGGAAATGTTGCATACACTTTCAAAATTTCACAGCGAATCATTGAATTCTCTAAGAAAAAAAGTAAACAGTTTAAAATCAAATAACAACTGTGCCGAAATCACTACTAAAAACGTGCTGAAAAACTGTTTCGAAATTTTGGGATATCCTGTATTAAATTGGATCAATTGTTCACTGAGAAGCAGTTCTTTTCCTGAAAATTTGAAATGATCTACAATAACACCAGTTCCCAAAATAAAAAATTCTAAAAGATGCAGCGATATGAGACCAGTAAATGTGTTACCAGACATTGAAAAATTATTAGAGTCCATAGTGCATGACCAATTAATGCAGTTTATAGAAGAAAACAAAATTTTAGTGGAGGCGCAAGCAGGCTTTCGAAAAAAATATTCCACAGAAACAGCTTTCCAGTTGGTAACTGAGAATTGGAGAAGAGCCATAGACGCAGAAGAAGTTGTCATAGCAGTATTTTTGGATTTGAAGAGGGCATTTGAAACGATTGATAGAGATATTTTGTTAGGTAAATTGAAGGCATATGGTATAACAGGAAGTGTTTTAGATTGGTTTAGAAATTATTTGTCTAAAAGGATGCAAGTTACAAAAGTTAATGACACTATTTCATCAAAAATTGAAAATACGTTGGGTGTTCCACAGGGCAGTATCCTGGGACCACTTCTTTTTATTTTATACATAAATGATTTACCTACCATAGTCAAAAAATGCAAAATTCAGATTTTCGCCGATGACACTATGATTTATATAAGTACTAAAAATATTCAGTCTGGTATCTCTTATATAAATGAAGACTTGAAGCTTGTCTCAAAATGGTTCGCATCGAACAGACTAAAATTAAATGCAAGTAAAACGAAAGCCTTGTTAATCAGAAAAAAACAATGTACAAATGTTCAACTGAATATTGATGGTGAAGATATTGAATTCGTAGAAAATTTTAAATACCTGGGGGTTTTTGTTGACTCTCGATTAATTTTTGATATTCATTATGAAAAAGTTATAAATAAGATTAGTAGTAAACTGGGGTATTTATCGAAAGTTTCTGGATGTCTGAGTTCATATAGCAGAAAAATTATCTATAATACCATCATTCTTCCAAATTTCTTGTACTGTTCGACTATTCTATATTTAGCAAATAATTCCATTTTTGAAAGACTGCAAATTTTACAAAATAAGTGCATGAGAATAATACTAAATAAAGATAAGTATACTCCAATTAGGCAAATGCTTAGCAAATTAAAATGGCTCAATGTAAGAAATTTTATCAAATATCTTGTAATGATATTCATTTATAAAGTAAAAAATAATATATTTCCATCAAGTCTAACTAATTTAACATCATCAAATGTCGACCATCATTTACATAATACCAGAAATAAAGATGACTTCCATTTAATGACCAAAAAGTATAACATGTGCTACAAATCTGTATTCCATCAAGGGTTGATTGAATATAATAAATTATACTCGGAGATAAAAGACCAGAAAACTTTGACAAAATTTAAAGTAAAATTGAGAGATCACTTGTTAAATCTACAATTATAGGTTGCCCAGCATTTACATCATACACCATATGGCTTGAATTTACTAGTTCTAAGTTGTTTAAAATTATTCTATTTATGTAACCAAATGTGCTAAATAAATCTTTCTACTACTACTACTACTACTATAATTTGAAAAGTACGCGACACAGATTTTATATTTTTCTGATAGATATGACTTGGCCTATCCCCGTTTCCGGCTTGACGTCAACTTCTGGGACACCCTATATTCACACTGGTCTTTAGTTTGAACCTGTATCTGGAATCGGAACGGTTCTTGAATGGTTCCTTGTGGAACCCGAATACGTCTACCGTCTGTCCAGGTCTAGTAGAAAATTCAGGTTTCATCCCATCGCCATCGGGGATCTGTTTAATTTTTTAAAGTAGGATATTAAAATAGATTGTACTAATATCGATAACAACCAAGTGCGCTCCATGTTCCTAACTCCCCTCCCTCCCAGGACCAACTGCAAACTGCGGCTCCCGTGACAGGCGGAATGGGCATGCACCTCCTCCAGAAGATGGGCTGGAAACCCGGCGAGGGCTTAGGCAAAGAGAAGACCGGCACTCTGGAACCACTGTTACTCGACGTAAAGTTGGACAAACGTGGTCTGGTCAGCAGCGACGAGCAGCCCCAGAAGAAGAAGCAGAAGCTGAAGGGCCAGCCTGCTATCAAGACCCTACAGGGCAAGCATCCGGTATCGCTGTTAGGGGAGTATGCGTCCAAGAGGAAGCTGGGCGCGCCCGAGTATGTACTGGACTTCGAGTGTGGGCCAGATCACAAGAAAAACTTCCTTTTCAAGGTAAATCGAATGTTCGGATTAGTTTTATTTTAATCGCCATTGATATGGAAAGAGTTACCTGGCAATCTGCAGGACGTTAATGACATACAACAAATATTTTTCTAGTTTACCTACCATTGTCAAGTCTGAGTTACAAATGAAACTGCTGGAAAAATATAACACCAGCCAGCAAGCCAGACAATTCACATTCTCCTAAATAACTTGCCACGATATTATGGGATTTTTCCGGAGAATCAGAAGTAATGCCATGGGTGTTGGCGGAATCAACCTAAATATGCTAACAATCATATTCGATTTGCTAATTGAAATTATAACTTTTATCATCAACTAAGCAATTGCATCATCAAACTTCCCCAACTGTTGGAAAAAAGCATATGTTTTCCCCCTAGCTAACATTCACTCTTTAGAGTGTGAAATATCCAACAGCTCCGGCAAATTCTGGTCTTTTGTTAATAGGAAAAGAACCTGCACTGGTATTCCGAAGGATATGCTGTACAATGGGCTGGGATTGAATACACCTAATGATGTTGTTGGCGCATTTGCGGAATACTTTAGTGGGAGATATAATACTCCAACAGCTCAATCTAATTTTTCTACTGACTACCATTTCACTACTACACTAGCTATGCCTAGTATACAGGAAATCGATGTGTTACAGGCGCTCAAGAAATTTAAGCCAAAAATGACTGCATGGCCTGATCAAATACCTGCATTTTTTGTGAGAGATTGTGCGTCCAATTTAGCATTCCACTCATGATCATTTTCAATCTCTCTCTGAAAACTAATCACTTTCCATCTATTTGGAAGTTGTCTAGGGTAACTCCTGATTTTGAAAAAGGTGAGAGGAATTGTGTAGAAAACTATCGGGCTATCACAATTATCAGTAATTTCGCTAAAACATTCGAAATAGTGATACAAACTGTGCTATATTTTCATGTAAGCAGGTCTATCTCCGTCAGTCAACACGGTTTCATGAAGGGCAGGTCCACAGTTACTATCTTGCTACATCTTAAACGGATGTAATATATACTGATTTCTCTAAAGTGTTTGATAGTTTAGACCATAACATTCTACTCAATAAGTTATCTAGATTTGGTCTTTCAGATGCATTGTTGCTATTTTTCAGATCTTATTTATGTCATAGGAAACAATATGTTATGTGCAATGGACATAAGTCAAGCGAATACCCTGTAATGTTCGGTGTTCCTCAAGGATCTAATTTGGGACCTCTGTTATTTATTATGTTCATAAATGATATTTCTGAAGTTATCGATGTCGATTTTCTTATATATGCTGACGATATGAAACTTTTCTGTAGAGTCTCCAACATTGACGATTCATCGCTTGCAGCGCAACATTGTAAGGGTTGACAACTGGTGTCGCGAAAACAGACTTGTTTTGAATGCTGCTAAGTGTCACGTTTTGTCGTTTACTTTAAAAACATTGGTAATGATGTATGAATATAGTATTGGTGACAGGAAACTTGACAGACCTAGTACAATTAATGACTTGGGAGTCACATTTGACAGAAAACTTTCCTTCTCCTATCACATTGAAAATGCTGTTGTGGCTGCATCAAAGGCGTATGGTTTTATTGTAAGAAATACCGGTGATTTCCACAACTCCTTTACACTGAAGATACTGTACTATGCTTATGTAAGATCTAAGCTTGAGTATGCGTCCCTGGTATGGTATCCTCATCATCAAATATATATATTGACCGCTTAGAGTCCGTTCAAAGAAAGTTTTTAAAATACCTCTCATACAAAGCTGACGGGATATATCCCGCTATTGGCTTTCCTCATAGTGAGTTGATGGCGAGACACAAAATCTATAATTTAGAGAGCAGACGCAAAATGAATTCACTTAAGTTCATTCACAAGCTCATCCACGGCATTATTGACTCCAGTGTCATCTTAGAACAACTTAACTTCTTAATTCCTAGATTAGTGTCACGAACTAGTTTAACTTTTTACTTAGCCAGGCCTAGGACTGACATACTTAAGTTTTCCCCTATATATATATATAATGTGCCGTAATTATAATTCAGTTAATAGCGTTTTAGATATATTTTCGTTTTGTGCGACTTTGGGAGACATTAATGCTTATTTTCGTTAATGCTTGCCGGTGTGATTGTTGAGTGCTGGGTAGGTAAAGCTAGAACGTTTTTTTTCCTCCCAGTTCTGTTTTGAGGTTTTTTTGCAGCGTTTTAGCTTTCTCTACATACATCCACAACATGCATTTGTTTATATTTTCATGTTTATCCATCCTGTAATTGGCTATGGCTGTTGGATGTTCCTAAATAAATAAATAAATAAATAAGCAACCCTACAGATATATCACAATAAATGTACTACCAGCATTTTCCGAGTTATTAGGACTAGCCATGAAACGTCAGGTATCTGACTACGTCTTCTCTAATGGTATCATTCCTGAAATCCAATCTCGGATGACTTAATCAGATGTGTAGATCAAGGAAATTTAGCATGCTTAGTGTTACTTGATTATACAAAGGCGTTTGATACTCTGGAACCATCTATTCTTGTGAAATACTTATACTTTGGTTTTTGGGAATCTGCAATTAATTTTGTATTAAGTTATTTCACTGACAGGAATCAGATGGTTTTAATTGGGTCAAGTATCTCGGAGGAGATACCAGTTAAACTAGGGGTACCACAGGGTTCCATTGTGGGACCATTATCGTTGTCAATTTACATTTCTGACTTCCACGAGTACGTTGAACACTGCAGTATTCATCACTATGCTGACGGCACTCAATTGTATTTTGGCTTTGATATTAAAGATTTAAAAAATGCCGAACATTTGATTAATAATAATTTAATAAATTTATCTTGTGCCCATGATCTCAAAATTAACCCGTTAAAATCATCCGCAGTTATATTCATCATCATTCGGTGTCTTAAAGCAATTATTTCCTCATAGGAAAAGTATAAATACTGGTCTCAAGCTGAAGTTGTGAGAAACGTTAATATGGTCTGGAATTCACTACTGTGACTGTATTTATGGGCCTGCACTAAGATCGATTGAGATAAGGAGACTTCAGACTATTAAAAATGCGTGTCTCAGATTTGCTTGTCTAGTGAGAAAATTTGAGACAGTGTCACATAAATATCGTGAGCTGCGGGTTCAAAAAATAGAAAATGCACGTATTGACCTTGACCCATAAAGTAATCACAACTCAAGCCCCTCCATATTTATCAACCAAATTTATCAGATACTCAGATGTTACACAAAGAATAAGCATATCTTGGTTATTCCGAGACATTCAACATATCTATTTAAAAGGTCATAGGTATATGCTATCAAGCTATACAACGCGTTGCCTACCGAGTTCACTCACTACTCTATAACGAATTTCAAAAACAGATTGAAGCATTTTATCTCTGATTTCATTGCCAGTAAGTAGACCATGGCCATGAATAGGGACTCGTTACAGGTTTTTTTTAACTTTTTTGTTTTCATTGGGATTAGAAAATTTACACAAATGTTTGTTGGACTAAGTTGAAAAACGCTTTTCAGCGACACTTCGCCTTTTTATACTTCGTATAAATAATGCCGGATTATTATTATATGGGGTCTCTCCCCACTCTGTGCACATATTTTATACTTTGCCCGGGGTGCACAAAGCTCTGAAGTCACCCATAGAAACTAATGATGTTTCCTAACTATGCACACAATTCAAAACAGTTATTTATTCGTTTTTTTTCAGGTGGTTTTGAATGGTATTGAATATAAACCAAATGTAGCAAGTCAAAATAAGAAAGAGGCTAAAGCAGCAGCTGCGACGCTTTGTCTGCAGCAAATAGGCTTACTTCCTGTGGAGCCATCAACATGAAATGTTTTCATACAGTTTAAGGTGTTTTTGGATATCATGTTCCTTGATTTTTGTGCAAATAAATGTTAATTTTATATTAATTATTTTTCCTATTTTATGTCCATTTGATTTTCTATTCTGTATTGTTTGGCTTAGGTCACTTGACTAAAGGGATGATCACTATAAATGTTTTGAAGAGGCAACATCGAAAATTTTACCCAAATTCAAATCTTGATATTTAGCTTAGCTTTATAAAATATTAAAATACCTGACTAACCAGTAAGTACTTCAAAGTTTCAGAACTCTCAAAACTAAAAATGTATTCCTACTGAATTTATTGGGCAAGAGGAAATAAAAAGTTCATGGTTTGTGAAATTTTATTAGATAGGGTGTAAACCAATAAATCTTAATTACAATAATTGAAAACCAAACAGACTCTCTTCCTAATCCTTTTCAGCAATTGCAGTCAGGTGTCTGTCAATCTCTTGCTCAGTCAGTTTCCTGAACTTATGATTATCTGCAGAAACAACACCTACTTCAATCTCTGTTGGTTTGAAATCAACTGATAGTACACTAGATAAACAGCTGATAGCAAGTTGGATAACATCATCATGTTGAAGATCCTGCTTTTTCTTCAATTTTTTCTCTAGATAGCTATTAGCCTCAGTCTGTTTCGCACCTACACTCACTGCTCTGTAGCCACAATAGTAGCCTGCAGGGTCTGCCTTGTAGACGCATGGTCCTAGCTCATCATCATAGCCAATCAAGACCATTGAACACCCTAAAAAGTTATTAAGATCAATAATTAAATCTCCAAATATAGGTTATAAAAGTTATTGAGGGAAATTCCACAATTAAGGAGAAAAAATTTATTTATTACCACTACATTTAGTAGAACTTCACAAAATTAATTAATTATCATAACTACAAAAAAAGGCAAATCTGTATTTAATGAGGGAGTAGTTGAATTTAATAAATTGGATAATGATATTAAACAGTTTGAATTTAAAAATGCTTAAGGTGAACTTGAAAAATCACTTTATGAATGCCCAAAATGCATAGTGATGTAATTTTAATAGACAAAAACATAAAATTACAAATGTGAATAATCACACAAAATTAACATTGCAGCAATAATGCTAAATAAATTGGAAAAAAAACAAACAAAAGATATCTACTGACTTATAATAGAAAATAAGCCCATGATTCAAACTCCAGGGCTAAATAGAGAAAAATATCTACCTAAATATCAGAAACAATGTAAGCCCATGACTGAGACAAATTCCAGGGTTGAAATTTTTCTTCAAGATTTATGTAGGGTGATTGTAACAGCCCATTAGTAGGGATCAAAGGGATAAGACATTTATCTACCCATACAGCAAAGAATAAACATTACAACCCGTGATTGAGAAATTCCAGGTTTGAAGAGAATGAGATATCTATCTCACAGGGCAACAAATAAAGAAGGTAAGAGTCCAAAAATGAGAACTGTGGAAAATTCTAAGAAATCTACTTAGAAAGTATAGAAAACATTTGATAATTTCCATTGTGAACAAATATTCTTTGATTTAGTTAGATTTTGAAAGGCACTAGAGTCTCACCAGTCTCCCTTGGGCTTGTATTAAAAAAGCACAGTCCAATAGATTTCATACCATTATTTATAAACTCTTGTACTAGAAGCAAAACATATACAGGGTTTGTCCGGAAAGTAATAGGACTCATTTTCTTCCGCCATGACTGAACTTCGTGGGGCGTGTGCGCACCTACTGGATTCGGTAGAGGGTGTTCCTAGCTAACGAATGATCGGCTGGGCAGATGTCTGCGAGCACTTGGAGAGTCAGGACAGGCATTTTCGCGCGACGTGTTTCTGTGAGTGGTGCAAGCCGAAAATGCAGCGTTCGTTAGAGCAGAGGTACGCGATTAAATTCTGTGTGAAACTCGGTATATCTGCGACAGAGACGGTTGATATGATCAAGCAGGTGTTGCTTTAGCAAGAAGTGGTGTGTTTCGGTGGCACCAGGCCTTTTTGGAGGGCCGGGAAGAGGTCGCTGATGAAGACCTTCCGAGTGGCACAAGATGGTGTCTCCTCGCCCAAAAAAGGGAAGAATGAGCAAATCCAAAGTGAAAACGATGCTCATTGTCTTGTTTGACATCAAAGGCATCGTCCACCATGAATTTGTTCCTCCTGGACAAACCGTCAACGCCAAGTTTTACGTGGACGTGCTCAGGAGACTCAAGCCCAGATGTGGCCTCCCCGGACTTTTTTTTGTTTCCTCGCCTGAAAAGGCCGATGAAAGGCAAGCATTTTGAGACGTCAGAGAGGATCCAAGCAGCATGCAGCGCGGCTCTCAAGGCTATTCCGGATAATGCCTTCAATTCTTGGAAATCGCGCTGGCAGCACTGCATCGACGCAGAAGGAGCCTATTTTGAAAGTTTTTAAAGAAATGTAACGATTGGCTCAATAATTTTTTTTAAATCGACTCAGTCCTATTACTTTCCGGACAAACCCTGTATTAAAATAGTTACTTGCCTAGTGGTCTCATTTCAGCATTTTGTGTATAAACCTGTGATATATCAGCTACTCTCCTACACATTGTATCAATGGGCATTTCATATCCGTATTTATACTTGAACTGAGCAGCTTCATATCTGGCTCTCTGGACCTGAGACTTGCTGTCCGCGATCATGCCAGTCATCACACAGCCAGAGTTATCAGTAAGTTGGAACAAATGGGTGATCGTTCCAGCATCTATGAGCTTATCGGGAATCTTCCTCTGGGTGACACAGCAAGCCGTATCAACCCCTTTCACAGCCACTGAGGTTAGACCTGCTTGGTTTATAGCTTTAAAGGCATATTCCACTTGGTACAACCTGCCTTCTGGCGAGAAGATAGTAATGTGCCTATCGAAACCTGCACTGCTTCCTCGCGACATGCTGGAGCACTATTTTAATGAATCTTGGAAGCCGAAAAGTTCAAATAAAACAGGATGATTTACAAATATTTTACTTGGTCACTGTCTGTCAAATTTCATCAAAACATCAAGAGTTTTGACAGCTTGTCAACTAACAAATGTCAGTGTTCTTAAAGTGTCGTCCTCTTCTTTTCTTAACTAGCAGTCCAGTTCTATATCATATAATGCACCCTGACGGCTTGTCAACTTTTCAGCTGTTTGTCACGCACATTTTGGACATTCCAGCAAAAATAAACAATGCTCAACTGAGTATCAGAAAGTGATAAGTGTCTCTCTGTTCTCTATAAGAAAATGGGTAGTGATAGAAAAGTAATCAGCGTAAAATTTAATCAAGATCAAGGTAAGAAATCCTTGAAAAAAATATTCCAACACAGCAACCTTTTGTCTATTGTAGGATGTTTTACCTGTAGCATGGAAAGTGGAATACGCATTTACAATGTCGAACCGCTAGTAGAAAAAGCACACTATGGTATGATTGCAAAATGATAATTTTTTGGGAGACAGTTATATTGTACTCATATTTCAGATGCAGACATGGTAGGAAGTGTCGCACAATGTGAAATGCTCTTTAGGACTAATTTATTGGCTATAGTCTCAGGTGGATCTCGTCCGAAATTTGCTGACAATGTTTTGACAATATTTGATGATCTAACAAAAAAATTTATTTTAGAAATATCATTTGCATCATCCATAAGAGCTGTTAAACTGAGAAAGGATAAGTAAGGTACCGTTTTTGATATATTTCTAGTACTTGCTGATATTTTTTTTTACAGAATAATTGTTGCTCTTTTGAATCAAATTCATGTCTTTTCATTTCCAACCCCAACACAGAGGCTATTTACATTAGAAACTAGGGAAAATCACAGAGGACTATGTGATGTTAGTCCTCTTACTTCTGCAGAAAAACAAATTTGGTTTTCCCTGGCCACAAGCTTGGCAGTGTTCAGTTAGTGGTAAGTTGCAAAAATTATATTATACCAAGGATAAAAGAAATCTCATCACCACAAACTAAACTATCTATATGGTTTCAAAAGTTGACAACCTTCCTTACACAAAGGATATATAACATACATATGGGATAGTGACTGATGGCCCCTTTAATGTTGGTACCACTGTGACAACTTTCCTTCCAACTACCTTGGGTCCCTGCAGGAACTTACCTGAGGATATATCTGCGAAAAACTGCAAAAAAATACACCAGACGCGTTTTTTTTCTATTGCACGAACTAATTACTGTTTGAATGTGTGATAGTAATCCTACCAGATGAGACATACCTGATTTTTGACACCTCTGGTAGTGCTATGTGTACTATAAGGTGCAGAAGGCACTGTTGCCATTTTCATCATCTGTACCTGGTTTACAATACTTACAATATACTTGTGTAATTTAAATGTAAACCATTAAAAATTTTAAATTAAATCTCTACTCTACATAAATGTTCATTCAATAATAATTAAAACTCAAGTCATAAATATAGGTGTCTAGCCTGGTTCCAAAAACGTTAGGGAATCCCAAAAACTCTAGATCAGCATTATAATTCAGTGAGAGTCTTGTGATTTATAGTTTGGAAAATATTACCTGTTCAGCAAAAAAGTGCTTTTAGGACTTATCATGCACAGAAATAGGGATATCTAGCGCCCCAGTATGGATAGGGGCACACAAAAGTGAGCTAGGATGTTTAGCTCTAAATCAGCAGGGCACAAGATTAGCAACAGCTTCAAATAAGGGTACCCTCATAAGAGTGTGGGATACAACGACTAAAAATCAGCTGGTTGAACTTAGGAGAGGATCTGATTTAGCTACTATATACTGGTAAATTATAAAATGATTCATGTGTGATTGCTATTTGTATCATTATTTTTTTTTGTAGCATTAACTTTAGCAGAGATTCAGATTACTTATGTTGCTCAAGTGATAAAGGGACTGTTCACATATTTGCCATAAAGAATACAAATTTAAATAAGAGGATTCTGTAAGTAGTAGTTTTCATATGTACATAAAATACTTGATATTTCAAAATCACAAAAAGGCTCAAATTATTCTATAATGTTGTTATGTTTTTAGGATACCAAGTGGTGGAATATTAGGAAAGTATGGAGACTCACAATGGGCTTTAGCAAATTTTACAGTGCCACCAGAGTGTGCTTGTATTTGTGCTTTTGGGCCAAACAGTTCCGTTATAGGTAAATGTTACTTGAAAAACAAAAATAGACTGGGAAACTGAATAGAGGTCACATGTATTTTTTAAAATTGTTTTAGCTATCTGTTTGGATGGTACCTTCCACAAATATGTCTTTACATCTGATGGTATCTGCAACAGAGAAGCTTATGATGTCTATCTAGATGTCTGTGATGATGAAGATTACTTACAATAATTTTAGGTCAGAAGACACATCTATTGAATGTGTGGAGTCAGCATTGTGGTAAATTAGTCAAATAAGGATAATGTAATTTTTTACTATCATATCTCATAGTAAAAGGGATAAGCGATTGTAATATGTGTTATACTTTAACTATATTTAATCACTATGTAATTTTTTTCTGAGAAATATTGCCATTATTTCCTCAGTTACTCTGTAGAAGTGTTTTATTGTGACTAGGTAAACTGAATTTTTAAATGAAATCTTTATGTTACGATGATAGTTGTATCTTTTCATATCATTTCAGATAAAGTGATTTTTATATTAATGGTGCTAAACATATTTAAATTATACAGGTACTTTTATTTTTTTTAAATAAAACTATAAACAAACATGTTCTCAATATACATAAATTCCCCATATAAATGTTCAACTGGTTCGACGCTCATGTGGATCATATTGTTTCATCTGAGCCTTAGCAACCTCCTGTACCCTTTCTACAAAGAAATGTTAAGAATCTTCAAAGCAGAATCATAAAATTCTACTTACTATATTTGTCAGGGTTCAACATTGGATCGATTATTATAGGATAAACTGTAATGGCTATAGCCCCAAATAGTCCACCTATTAACGCAGCATACCTCCAGCCTTTCAAAACAGCCATTTTCAGCACAAGAACTGAAAATTTTTAAATGTTTTGAATTTTCTTACGTAGTGAGGTTAGGCTGTACTGTATCCAATTTGATTACATAAAATGTTCACGATTTCGATACGACACGAGTCGGTGCATTATAGTCCAGTCCACAATTACATTAATGGATCAATACAATTATTGTTCACTGTTTCCTGATAGCACCCATGAGAGATCATCATATGTTTCAAAATAGGGGTAAAAGTCAAATGCTAAATTGAAGAAAAATGGCGGAGAAAAAAAATTGTCACAGCTCGTAAAATTAAATGCTATATAATACGTAATCACGATACACATACACTGAAGATAGGATATTGCGCATGTGGGCGGAGCTTTGTGACGTCACCCGGAGAGTTATCGGCTCGTGGTCACCAGCGGCAGGATTGTCCTAACGTTACCGCAGTTCACGTGTATCGTGGTTAATACTATATAGTGCGATTTGTTGGTGGTTTTGTGACTTGTATTAGTTATACATACATTATATACCCTGTGTGGTTGGTAAAATGATAATACGGTGTGCTGTTTTGGGATGTAATTCCGACAATCAATCTAAACGGAATCTTTGCAAAGACATGAAGTTCCACAGTTTTCCTCGAGACCCAAACTTTAGCAAATAATGGCTACATCTCTCAAAAAGATAAGACAGTCAATGTAAAAATCGCCAGGGTTTGCTAGAAAATGCTCTAGGACGCTTCAGCGTCCAATACCCGTTAACAAGACGTCTTAATCAACATGTGATAGAAAACTTTTTCGGAGTAATTAGGGCAAAAGATGGTCTTCATGACCATACAAGTCCTCTAGAGTTTAAGTATAGAATAAGGTCATATATGTTGGGGCGAAACGAAGGCGCATACTCAGAGTACCTATTGCAGCGTAGTCAGAGGATACTCCAGACATTCCACTAACCACTAACCGCATCATTAACGAGAATAAACTCAAATCTGAAATCTTTTATTAAAATCCACCATTTTGTTTTGTATAAAATTTCAATGTAGCTAGTAGTACCACTAAGACGAATCCAACGACACCTCATATGTGAAAATCTATCAAGCCGTTTGATCTGTAGCCTATGAAGTAGGAATTACAAGGTTGAAATCTTTTATTAAAACCCATCATTTTGTTTTTTATAAAATTTCAATGTAGCTAGTGTCACTCGCATCGCTAAGACGAATCCAACGACACCTCATATGTGAAAATCCGTCCAGCCGTTTGGCCTGTAGGTGAAAATATGCACGTTTTCCATATCAACCCAAATGATAATCACTCTCCGCGTGACGTCATGCGCGCCGGCGGACGAAAATCGAACAGCAGAGCATACGGCCCCCGTATATATAGTTGTCTACCTATCGTGTCATGAATATCGACTGGATTATAAGTACTCTACGACTCGTTACCCTAACATCTGGGCATGCGTGAATTTTCATAGAGCTGGACCGTCAGTCATGACAAAATAAATAAAGTCCTTTGCATAGATCAATACAAAAAACGGGAAGGTACGAGTAATTTCTTGTGGCACTGCCTGTCAATAAGTCATTACGTCGATTCGTAAAACTATTCCGTGTCAGCATGCGCAAAAACGGAGTGCGTCATATGCCACCTGTCATTTATCGCTGCAAGACAGCGGCAATTTGAAAATATGTATCACAATTTTTTCCATAATAAAGTCTAATAAATAATGAAATTCTCTGTAAAAACTGAGTGTGGGGAAAATGAAACGTCACTCAGTTGTTTGTGTTTACAAACGATTCTTTTATAGCATTACTTAATTACCGTGTTTAACATTAGTAACAATTTCAGTCATATGAAATTGCGGATAAGAGCTACAAAAGTTTGGAACGCATCGAATATCTGACGAATGACTCATCTAACTTTTTCAAAAACTCATATGTTTATAGGTTCGAAACCACGGCGAATCCGTTGATGATATCCGCGATTTTGCCGAATCTAGTTTTTCAGAAACTGATAGCACCTTTTGTTTTCCTTATGGATGATTTATTCGATACTTGTATTCTGCGAGAAATTCTGAATACTGTTTATCAAACATATTTTGATGTAGACCTCATAGTTTTCGAAATATTCGCGGTCAATCATTAATATTTATCCAACAAGCGGTATTTTTTCAATGTCAGAAATGGCAGGAAGTTATTTGCCATATTTTTTCATTTCTTAGGTGAAAAAAAAACCGTTTATTGTTATTTCGAAAACTACGTCAAAGTATTTTTAATAAAAAGTACTCAGAATTTCTTGCAGAATACAAATATCGAATAAAATGTATAGCATTCGATCAGAAAAACAAAAGTGGCTATCAGTTTCTGAAAAACTGTAGATTTGGCATCATCGGAGTATTATCAACGGATCCGCTATGGTTTCCAACCTAAACCTACCAATTAACAAAAAAAGATATTTGATGCATTCCAAACTTTTGTTAGACTGTATTATACATATAAAGGATAATATTAACAATCAAGCATGAAATTTAAAAATGTATATGTATTTATTTATTATATAATTTTAATTACATTCATTTTATAATAATAGAAACAATATTTACAATTTTACACAATAGTTAAGCAGTTTGTACAAGCATGTAAAATGTATCACAATGTTATACCCGTAAAAATTCTGGACAGGGATTAATACAGATAGGAGGAGAAGGAAACAGAATCTGATTAATAGCAACAATCTGAACACAAAGGTGATCTTCTGCAGTACAATATTTATAAATTAGATCGCCTTTGTGATTGAAACATTTACTACATTAATGAAACATTTTAAATATACCCTATTTCACGAGTATCCATCACAGCAGAATGGCAGCTGATTATCTAGTAATATGTGGATCTCAAAATTCCCGGCATCGGCACAAGACACATAATTTTGACAGATCCGTCAAGGCCAGGTTAGACAGCCGAATTTTCTTTTGTTTTTTTGTACGCTACAGATTCATTTTGTACTTGCTAACAGCTCTCTTATTTAGGAAAGTTAATTTGCATACAAAAACACAAAAATGTCACTTGCTGATCAGCTGTTCACCTCAGTAGACGTTAAAGTGTGACGGATACTCGTGAAATAGGGTATACATGTAGTTCCATTGGCCAAACATGGGGGACTATCGACATGAAAACCATAGTATGAGTTTCAGATGTTACAGGAACTTTTTCAGTCCAGTAACAAAGCCAGTAATCTGCTGCTTTGTTTCTTTCACAAATGCAGGAGAGAACTGGGCAGATACCAAAAGCAAGGTCTGAATTGTATCTATGATATTTGGTGACAGTTTCACCAACTGGTATGTTCTTAAATTTTAAACTTTCTGAAATGCATTTTTTCTATTCTGCTGAAAAAACTGGGGTTTCAACTGTATTCGCTGCTTGAGATTTGTTGTGCCATGTATGCTCACACATAATTAACTTAATAAAAAAATCAGAACATGTAGGTACATGAATAAGCATATACACAAATTTGTCAAAACTTTTCAACCCCAATATTTTTGACACAATATATTCATTAAAGCTTAGTTGTTGTTGAAGATTTATTTAGCATTAATACTAAAATGTCAATTTTTTATAATGATTCGGTTACATATTTTTCTTCAATTCATTTTCTGTAATTTTACATTCTTGTCTATTAAAATTAAAATTACGCCACTATGTATTTTGATTATTCATAAAGAGATTTTTTAATTTCACCTTAAACATTTTTAAATTCGAACTCTGTTTAATATCATTATTCAATTTATTAAATTCAAATACTCCCTTTTGAATTATAGATTTACTAGTTAAGCTACTATTACAATTTTGCAGATGAAAATCTATACTGCCTCTAGTTTCGTAGTTATGATAATGACTATTTAATTTTGTGAAGTTCTCTGAATGTGGTGGTAATAAATGATTTTTTAATTTGAATATGAAAACGAGAACTAAATAATATATGAAATTTTTCACATCCAACCACTGCAGTTTTTCTAACATAGACTTAATCCTAGCATATTTGCTTTCCAAAACCCACTTACGATCATACAAAAGATGTAGATTGCAAAAAGTGCCTGTCTATTTTTTATATTAGGTACTAGTTTAAGAAAATGTTGTTTGTAGGCAAAATAAATTTGGTACTAAAATATACTATTCTTGTCGTTTTACTTTATTCACCCTCAAAGAATGTCTTGTTTAATGTATTATTTATTAAATATCAATGTTAGTCTTGATATGATATCCTAAAATACATATCAACATACTATTTAGGTGTGCAGAAAGGTACTTTCAAGTTTTAACATGAATAGAAAATCTGAAACTTGCAATATGAATTTTTGTTTTGTTTTTTGTTTATGTAAAAATTGCAGACTGAGGTATGAGTGATAAAGAAAATGTTATTTTACAAAAATACAAATTTGCTTAAAAAAAAACACCAGTCTTGTTTTGTTTGTACTTGCATGTACAATGTGAATATTCATTGGAATCAACTTTAACTATTTTGCAAACATGATGAGGCCTCAAATCCTACATAGCTCTATTGATCTTTGTCAATATTTTATTCCAAGTTTCTTTCTTACTTTCAGCAAAATAGCAAACATATCAGATGAGCTGGCAACACTGCAACCCAGGTGACCAGAAGCTATGTCTACAATTTTCATTTTTTAAGTGTTGTGCAACATTTTCGGAAAAATTTCCCTACTGATCGTCTTACAGACCCTAGTAGTTAACAGGTTTAATTGACAAACTAATCGCAGATTCTTCAATTCTCTTGCAACATTGACTAGGTGACACCTTCCAGTTGTAGATGTACACAGATCTCCTTTTTGCCTTCACTTCTACAGGACATAACTGACCAAATTCCTCCACATTCTTATAATACTGTAACATCTCCTCAGATGATACATGATGAACAATGAGATGTTGATTTTGGCATCCTCTTGATTTCCATTCAGTATCGAACCTAGTATCATGGATCCTCAAAATGTTGTCCACTGGAGCCAACCAAAAACCCACACTGACATCTTCTGCATTGAATGTCCTGTAGAAGAATTAAATTTTCTTCTCTCAAATCAGTTTTCTAAATGTTAGTATATGTAGAATTTAAATCAAGTAATGGCAGATTTTAACAGTTAATGTGGTTGCTTGAATCCTGAATTTGAGATTTGATCATCCTAGGGAAGGGCTGTTAGAATGAAAAAAAAAATGACATTGTAGGAATAACCAAAATTTAGATAAAATTCAACTATATATAAGTATAAATACAAGCATCATGTAAAAAATAAAAAAAATTGAGAATATTATTACATAAATATATAATATAAAAGGTTATTCAAAAAACAAGGACAATATTTCTAGAGCAGGACTTACATCCAAAAATAATAAAAAGACCATATGAACATACACATGATCGCCCATATAGCAAAATCCAGGAGGCATGTTTGGTGCATTTTTTTTTTTAGGGGCGGGGGGGGGGGTCATAATATCTTTTATTTTCCACTTCTTACCCAAGGATTGGGCATCTTAATAAGAATTTATGAATATTTCACTTTGAAGCAGAATCCAGGGGGCATGAACATACAATAGGGGACAAAAGTTTGGAAACATTCTTAGTAATTTTAAAAAATGCGCTAATATTTTATCCTTTATTATTAAGGACTATTTTTTTCTCATATGGTTTGCTTACAGTCTTGAGGATACAAATGACAATTTGCGTTTGATGTGGTACAACAGACTAGCATTAAAATACCTTCATATTATTTGAAAATGAGATGACAAATGTTTGGAAACAAATAATCAATTACTTTGTCTCTTATATCTTTTGAAAATTCTTTTACTTTTGCCATTCTCACTGATGTTGATATTTACCGCACACAATATCAGAGCATCCAGAACGAATAAATACGCGTGTTTTTATTTACAGTGAATTTGAATATCGATAAGATATACCTTGTATGGGAACCAAAGGTAGACTTTAATATTTATATTATCTGTTACTTCGCAATTTTAATTTAGGTATATGAAATAGTTCTCAATAATGTTAATAGTTGTTTCCAAATTTTTGTCAGCTACTGTAGGTACTAAATTGTCCCAATGGCAAGATACAGATTATATCCTCAAATGTAAAAACTAAATTTTTCTCAGTAGGGGTCTAGAAGTACATACAAACTTTATACAGTGTTTCAGAAAATAAGTAATGACTGGCAGCCCTGGAAACTTACTCTATAAGCTTTTTGAATCAACTTCCTGCCATAAAAATATTGCCATTGTTTTTTAATCACCATATATAATGAAATTTACCATTTATTTAATATATGGATCAGACAATAAACAATTGTGCAAGAATGGTCAATTTTGCCATGAAGATCTGATGAGACCAGGATTTTTTAGTCAACACAAAAATACTTGTTAGAAATTGTTTACTGTTTATGTGGTTAGAATAACAGAAAAAGCAGAAATCCATCAAATAAAAATTCTCTGACTATAGAGAGCAAAATACACGTTTCTCTTACATAAAAAAAATCTGAAAGCATGATCTATACTTACCTCAAGTTCTCAGCATTTTTGCCAATGTATGTGACCAAATTCTTGGATAGCAAATAACCACCACCTAAGGCATATGGCAGATACCTGTCTGAAAAAATCCAGTCTGTTTCTTTCCATTTGCCTTTGGTAAAGATCCTTGCATTTCCATAGAAGTACCCCCAGTATAGATTCAACTTGTTTGGACCTTCCTTATTATTTGCCTGTATGTTTGTGGATATGGTGTCAGCAGAACTGTACTTCAGCGCTCCAATAACTGTCTTTAAGCTAGGTGGAGACAGATACAGCTTTTCCATTTCAATAAGCTCACCTACTAAGGATTTTAGGTGAACAAAACTGTCTCCATCACATTTCAGAACATATTTGAAATCCATTCCATGATCATATTGATCACTTAACCACTGGAATGTATGTTTTATCTTGAGTGTTAGGTTTTTGTAATTATCTAGGACTGGCAAAATCAAGAGATCCTTGTTGGTTGTTTGTTCCTCTGTCATTTGTTGCTTGATAGATGCATCTAGTCCAAAGTCTCCAATAACAAAATAGTGTTTTACTATGAAAGTTTGTTCTAAATTATTCTGTTTCCTACCATAAAGCTTTGTCCAAGTGCTTCTTATAAGCTGTCTTTTGTCCACATTCATCGGTGCAGACAATATAATTATAATCAGATCGGCTCCTCGAAATTTGGAGTACATGATGCCATGGTCTTTATCTGTATCATCTAGTTTGCACGTTTTTGTTATGGAGTTGATGTTTACAATAAGTGTGAGTGTGCAACATACAATAAAAATAAATATACCTATGAAAAGGATGTTAAAGCTCCCATGTCTCGGCATCTTCAGCAGATCGTTGTAACTAGGTTTACAATGTCGCACTTAGGCAAAAGGCAATAAAGTGTGAAGTCAGAAACTTATGTTCAAAATTTTTGATTTTTTCGAACTGAATAAGTAAACTACTAGGGGGCACTATGAGGACCACAAAACCGCACAAAACTTGGACGCAACCAGATACAAAAAAAAAGCCAATGCACAAAACAAACACCACCCCACCCACACCCCAGACTCCTTAAGCAGTGGCGTAGCTACCTTGGGTGGCACCCCAGTGAGGAAGTTGGTGGTGTCACCCCATCGAAAAGCAATACATTTTGGTCCGAGTAAAGATAACATGGCCACGCAAGACGAGAAGAACTATAGGAATATACTCTACCAGATTCTAAAAGACTAATCCGTAGCTAAATTTTTCTCGAAACACGTAAAAAATATGCAAATGAAGATCGGAAAACTGCCGCTTTGAGGTTCTAAATGATGCCGTTACTACCCGGGGTTAGACATACGTTTTGAAAGTTGACCTTGTCACCTGAATTGCGGCATTGCCGGTTCATTACGAATTCCTTGGACTAAACATAGTTTTTTGTTCGAGGCATTGCTAAATGTTTTTTGAGATTTTTCGGAAATGATTGTAAGTACATGAGAATACTTTCAAGAACATTAGATTAGTGCACGTTTCTGTAAATTTCTTTTTATATTAATGTATTACAGGTTAAATTCAGTAATCTCACAATCTTACATCAACCATTTGTTTTGCAACGTCTACTCAAATAAAATGAATAAGTTTAAAAAAACACGTTTGCTCATAACTATAAAAACAAATGTAACGTGATACATCGTTGAAGTCGTAGAAAAAAATGCTATTAGATACAGGGTTGTACTTTTTAAGAACACCATTATGTAGTGCTTAAATAGTGTTTTGACATTTCTTAAAATAAAGTCAGTCAAAAAGAAAAAACGATTTGGCCAAATTTTAGTCTTACCCAAATATTTCAGTATATGACTTCCCTCAGTGTATGCAATGTGCGCCATTTAAAAAAAACATGGGATGTCAAACCTAATGCACAAATAGATGAGTATACAAGGCTCACCTAAATTGCGGCACAGATATCCTGTTTCCCTCAGAAGAGTTGGAACTAGTCCTAATTTCCACTTTTAAATAAATAAATAAATAAATAAAAACGCCTTTATTTTAAACTCGGCGAAGGCCAGCTATGCTGTTAACTTAACCGAGCATGTAAAAAGTAACAACAAGCCAAAAAGAAAAGTAATATGACAAGAAACAAGTTTTACATTACATTAATTTTAGAATATTACATAACAACAATGAACAATAATAACTACAGATGTACGTATACAAAGAAAATAAGCAATAATAAACAACTTATACTTCACAGAAGCAGTTGTTTCAGTTTTCGTTTGAACATATTAGGAGACATATCTTCAAATTGACCTATATTGTATTGGTTTAGAAGTTTGACTGATGTACAGGAAAATGAGCTTTGAGTCATGGTTTTAGTTATTTCATAAAGTACATTAAAGCGTGTTGCACGAGAGTGAATCAGATTTCTACGAGTTAATTTTTCAAACAGATATGGAGGGCTTTTAGTTTTAATCAATTTATGAAGAAAGCAAGCAAAATGCAGCTTTTCTCGATTGGAAACATTCAACCATTTCAGTTCGGAAAGTTTATGACTCACATGATCGTGACGTCTAAGCTGGTAAATAAGTCGTATGCAAGAATTCTGCACTTTTTGGAGTTTATCCTTAGTAAATACATCTAAGCAAGGACCATACACAAAGTTGCAATAGTTAAGGTGACACAAGACCAGTGCTTCGCAGAGAACCTTTTTTAACTTAAAACTAAGAATATCTTTACTTTTGTAAATATTGCGAAGGTTAAAATAGGCTTTTTGTAGAAGTCTAGACACATGACTTCGGAATCTAAGCTTGTTATCAAAGATAACGCCCAAATTTTTATATTCCTCAACAACCGGTATTGCCACACCATCCATTGCTATCACCAAGTTTACAGACGCCCAATCTTTAGCTGGCCCAAAGTAGATTATGGCTGATTTATTAGGATTCAATTTCAAGCCATGATTAAAAGAGTATTTAAAAACTGAATCCAAACACTCGTTTAGCCTCCTAGCCGCTTCAATTGCGTCCGACTTAACAAAAGAAAGCTGAATCTGTGTATCGTCAGCGTATCTATGATTGTTTATGTCACCAAAGCACTTCGACATATCAGCAGTAAAAATGATAAAAAATAAAGGACCCAAAAGTGATCCCTGAGGAACTCCTCTATCCACGTTCAAGGATTTTGATTTAAGTCCATCAATTGAGACCGACTGCGATCTGTCATCCAAATAACTACGAATAAGTTGAATAGTCTTAAGTTTAAATCCATAGTACAAAAGTTTTGCACACAGCAATGGATGGTTCAGGGTATCGAAGGCCTTGCTAAAGTCCAGCAACACCAATGCCGAAGTTTCACCCCTGTCCGCAGCCAAAAGAATGTCATCTAGAACCTTCAACAGAGCCGTGGTAGTACCAAACCCTTTACGGAATCCAGACTGCCACTTGGGTAATAAATTATTATCTGTGAAATAAGTAATGATTTGCCTATAAATAAGCTTTTCAAATACTTTAGACAGCACTGGTAGTATACTAATTGGTCGCAAATCAGAGACATCCTTAGGACTGCTAATTTTAGGCAGCGGCAGGACCACAGCCGTTCTCCATTGGGCAGGAAAGATGCCCTTTTGTATGCAGGAATTAAATAGGTTAACCAGCACGGGTAAGATCGTTGGACAACACAACCTCACCATGTCAAGGCTAATTCCGTCTGCACCAGAGGCGTTTGACCCAATCTCCGATATTGCCCAGAAAACGTCATCTTCACTAACGAGTTTTAATTCAAATTCTGCGGTTGTACATTTGGAATTAAGATATTTAGAAATAGTATTCGTATCGACAGTGCTAGGTATTTGTCGCACCGAGTCGATAAAATATTGATTAATTAAATTTGGGTTTTTAAGATGGTTAGGAATTTCCATATTTTTTTTAGATCTGTTATAGATATTAAGTTGGTCTAGTGTCTTCCACATGTCTTTGGATTTTTTAGTACGACTGACAAAATCAAGATAAGCTCTCTTTTCTTGTCGAACAGCTGACGTAAAAAAATTCCTCATTTCTTTGTAGGATGCCCAATCCCGTAAATTTTTAGTATGCTTATATTTAGAGAAAAGATAGTTACGGTGATTCTTCATCGCACGCAACGCATCAGTAAACCACGGGGAAGGTGGCCTGGTAACTTTTTTCTCACATATTGGCGCATGAGAATCAAAAAGAGTCAATATCATATCTGAGAGAATTGCAGTCTTCTGGTTAACATTATCACAGTCTATAACCTGCCACCAAGGGAAGTTTATAAGATCTTGTTTGAAGCTATAGATGTCAAAGTGTTTAAAGTTACGATATTTAATAATTCTAGGCTTAACGGCAGATATCTTAATATTTATTGAACAGTGTATGAGCTGATGATCGGAATGCTGATGCAAGTCCTGATGATGGACACTGCCACTTAAGAGATGATCATCGGACATGATGATGACATCAATCAAACTGGCTGTGTCTCGGGAGTACCTAGTTGGGTTAATTACAACTTGCTTGAAGTTGAAAGTATCAAGCAAATTATTAAACTGATTGGTTATGTTAGTATGTCTTAATAGATTAATATTAATATCCCCCATTATAATCAATTCATCTGTCACTGGAATTAAATTAGCTATTGATTCTTCCAGTTGGCGTAAAGCAGTCATCACATTAAAACGAGGAGGACGGTAAATGATGCCCAACCCCAATTTTATTTTGCCAATTTTGAGAATAAGCCATTGCTGCTCAAAAATTCCCCTTTTGACACCCACGTCACAACTCTAAAATACCAAAGCACCACTGAGAGACAATCGAGAACCCTATAGTGAACACCACTACTGAAAAAAAGTAGCTAAACCGAATGAAGCTCTGCACGGACCTGTGAACGCGTAGACATACCGCTGCGCCGACGGTTGCCAAGAGACTGAAGCGTGCGAGTGCTGTACCTCGCTGCGGCGATACGGTACGGCCGGTAGCACAGCCACGCCCCTTTCCAGCTCCCAGTCCGCGCATCTGCCCACGGTCAATGCAGTTGTTTTATTTTTTTTTGAGTTCTCTTATTTGCCAGTGTCACGAAGCGACCCGATGCTTACGTTGACCGGGAGCAGACGCGCGGAGTGGGAGCTGGAAACGGGCGTGGCTGTACTACCCGGCCGCAGTGTATCGCCGCAGCAAGGTACAGTACTCAGACGCGTCAGTCTCTCGGCAACCGTCGGCACAGCGGAGTGTCTATGCGTTCACAGCTCTATTCGGTTTAGCTACTGTTTTTCAGTAGTGGTGTTAATTATAGGTTTTTCGATTGTCTTTCAGTGGTGCTTTGGTGTTGTGACGTGGGTGTCAAGTGTCTAGAAAGTGGAAATTGGGTCTACTTCCAACCCTTCTGAGGGAAACAGGATACCTGTGTAGCAATTTAGGTGAACCTTGCATACTCATCTACTTGTGTGTTAGGATTGACATCCTATGTTTTTTTTATAAATTGCGCACGTTGCATACACTGAGAGCTCAGTCATATATTAAGGTATTTCTCAATCGTCATATCAATATTCATTACTTGTTATCAAAGGTATTGTAATTTTTGGTAACAACAGCTGCCAAGTTTCAGATGCTACATTAACACAAAACCTGGTGCCACGACTTGTGTTTGAATGTTTATGGTGGCTATGTTGAAAAATGAAAAAATGTTTATATTTTAGTTTGTGATACAATTTACATTCATAAATAAAATTTCTCTGAGTGGATTACACTGCTACTGTTTTTATTTAGGTTAATAACTGTGGCATGCTGGCGATTTTCGATTGTACAAATGAAGCCAGAATTGTGGTATTTGATTTTTCTTCACCTGATACAATCTTAGCAGTGACGGTTTTCCTCGCCCAAGTGCGAATGCAGTCATCAAAAAAACATATTCCCCTATTAAATAGTAGAGAAAATGAAAATCGTACTTCTATCTGTGATCATCTAATTGTAGATCAAAAAGTTTTTTATCAATTTTAGTTTACTGAAACTCCTTCACATGAAGCTACTGACAAACACCATGAACAATTTTAGTGCAATAATAAAATTTGGAAGAGATTCTGTAAAATCCCATTCTACAATAAATTTAAAAAAATGTATAGAGTTACCCGATCAGAAACTGTAACATTAGCGGCTTTCAAGTGTCCTTCTATTTCCTCATCAGTAAATTTTGGATGTAGCTAATCTCAGTTCTTCAGTATTCGCCAAAAGCAAAGTACGATCTCGAACATAGAAATTAGGACTTGAAGAGACTTCGATCTTGTCTGGAGTTCAGCTCTGAATCGGTCAAGACATTCCAACATATCTTTTTGAAGTTCTTCTTTCAGTGTGAGTCCTGCATCACTGGCCATCTCACCAACCACCCGTTTTTTACGACTAAGTCGTCTTTCTGTTGGAATATGTGCCTCTATTTCTGTAGCAGTTTCGTCAACAGTTAAGCCTTTATTTTGCACTGCAATCTGTTCAGCATTTATTTCCCAAAGAACATCTGTGCTAGCGATTTTTTTTATGTTTGTACATTGTTCTTAAAGTTGAGCCACCGGGTGGATGTCACCCCAAACAAGGTGACACCCGGTGCAACCTCCCTTGCTACGCCACTGTCCTTAAGCTAACCTCCTATTCACCTCCTATCTCTAGTCTTCATGATCCATGTTATATGATATTTGTTTTATTTGGCAGAAGTTGTCGTCGGTTAAGGTTGGCATATTTTTGACAATTGACATACAAACTATTTGAGATTTGAGACTAGAGAAGGTAAAAAGTAAGATACCAAAACAGCATTTGGAATATTCGTTAGCTTAGCATGGATTTATAATTTAAAAAAACTGTTTCGGGCGTGTAGTGTATTTTCTTCACCGTGTGCACCTGTTGTTTTGATTGCCATTGATTTTACTGTTGACCAAAGATGAGCGTGGATCCAGAGACCGCGGTTTTGGAGTCCAGCTACGTACCGTACACCGGTACCGCCTTTCAATATGCAGAGTACAATTTCGAAAACAATTCCAATGCCGCTTTGGAGTTGGCTAGGTGTCAATGGCCCAACTATGATGATCAACACTATCTGAAAGGTAATACCAAAGCATCATCTTTCTCAGTATTTTATATAAATGTTTATTGCAGGTTGCAAGTGGTCTCCAGATGGTACGTGTTTGCTGACAGTGGTACGAGGGGCTGGTATGCATGTTATGGAACTGCCATCAGATTTATATACAGGTAATATTGCAGTTCTTTCTTTCTAACAGTGAATTTAGGTGGGCAGATGTGTACCTAATCTTTAATTATAATTTTTTCATTCGCAACACTAAACGTATTTAAATATCAGACACCTGTGTTGATCAGTTTATCTTCAGAAGAAGCAGCAGAGCTTTGCAAAATTTGCCTGAGAGGCTTCTAATGAAAAACTTTTTTGATTGATTATCGCTTCGATCAGGTTCTACTGGAAACTGCTCCAGAACCTTTTATATTCTACAAGTAGTGCTTTTAAAAAATGGTTTATATTCCTGCATCTTGGTGTCAAAATTACCTGGATAGACCTGAATCTTGAGAGACATATCTCACCCTCACGCTCTAATTGTCATGGGTCATTTCCTCTCATCTTGAATATGAATGCTGCGACCACTGTAAAAGGGCAGTTCACCTCTGAGGGAGCAGGAGACACTAAGATATAAAAAACCTAGTGGTCATGTTTTTGTATCCTATGTGTGGTTGAGTAGGTTTGAACATTTTTTATTCTAAAAAATGTATAGGTATGACTCTGCTATTTTCATGATATTTTTTCCAGGTGACACAATTTTAACCAGTAGACCAATCACAGGTTTATCACCTGCAGTTAGCGTTCCAGAAGGAGGACTTATATATGACTACTGTTGGTATCCTGGAATGAACAGCGCTAACCCTGCTACATGCTGGTAAGTATGAAATATTGATTGTGTGCAAATCAACTATTTCATAAAAACTCTCAGTCTGAGAGTTGCGAATGTCACCACCTTAACATGGTGACGAGACTCCATTATCTAACCGCTAAATCAAACCACAAGTGCTTGAAATGATGTTTTGGCTACTGCTGTGGCATTTTTCAAGTCTCAGGCATCACAGGTGTCCTGAGCACCAGTGCTTCTGATTACAAATGCCCTCAAGACGTTATAACAGTTGAATTTCCTTTAGGTGCTCTACCCTACTTTATAAACCTAGAATATAACATGTCAAATGTGAACGTTTTGTTTTAAATTCTGTAATTTTTTTTAACTGAATGTCTCATGTTTTATTCCACATTCCTATAGACACTTTCGAAATGAGAAGATTGATATAACATACTAAAATGTTTTGATTGATCACTTGTTGCTTTATAAGAGAATCAATATACAAAACTGCTCAAGTTTGAAAGCCTTCCATTGCTCATTTTGTAAAATAGAGATTTCATATACAGGATCCTTCATTTCATTTAAACAATGTTACTAGAGTTGCCATCTTGAAATTTTTAGCTGTTAATCATACTGAATTTGAGCTTGCTAACTTTATCTGTTTAAAAATGAGTAGGGGGTCATGGGACCTATCTGAAAAGGCCGATGAAAGGCAAGCATTTTGAGACGACAGAGGTGATCCAAGCAGCATGCACTCAAGGCTATTCCGGAGAATGCCTTCCGTGACGCCTTCAATGCTTGGAAATCGCGCTGGCAGCGCTGCATCGACGCAGAAGGAGCCTATTTTGAAAGTTTTTAAAGAATCGTGACGATTAGCTCAATAATTTTTTTTAAATCGACTCAGTCCTATTACTTTCCGGACAAACCCTGTAACATACCAAAATGTATTGATTGTTGTTAAGAGAACCAGTATACAAAAATGCTCAAGTTTGAAAGCCTTCCCATTACTCATTTAGAAAAATAGTGATTTCATATTCTAGGGTTGTAAAGTACCCATAAGGACCTTTAAAATAAAGGATTAGAGGATCCTCCATTTCATTTAAAAAATATTACAATATGGCGCCCTGTTGCCATCTTGAAATTTTCAGCAGTTATCATCCTGAACTGCTTAAAAATGGGTAGGGGTGGTGGGACCTTTCAGAAAAGCATACTGCATTTTGAGAATTATATTTTTCTTATCTCTGTGTTCAGCTGGGCTTCCAGTAGTCATGCCGGTCCCATACACCTGTGGGATGCTTTCACAGGTGATTTGAGATGCACTTATCGAGGTTATAATGCTGTTGATGAAGTGGAACCTGCTATGAGTGTTTCCTTTTCAGCAGATGGACAAAACGTTTTTGGAGGGTACGCATATCGATTTCATTATGTCTATTAAGTATACATATAAGCAAAATCATTTTTCAAATCGAATTGTATATTGGCTTATTATCCAATTCAAGGTGTAACCAATATTTGGAACTGTCTCCTAGGCCAACCTATAGAAATATATAGTTCATTGTTTATAGGTATGTTTGAAATAGCTCATTACTTGTTGTTGAACTGAAAAAGTTGCTATTTAATTAGTGTTTTTTTTCTAATTATTTTGTATCTTTTTAAATAATCCTATTGAATCGACAAGAAGTTACCTTATGTCATCTTTGCAGCCACAGACATTAGTATGAAGGTTGGTATCAACCTAAATGCATGGCATATTTAAAAAAGCTAGATCTATATATGCTTGGAACAGGTATCACCTCCTGATTTTTTGAAGGTGTCATTTTGAGACTAGGAATTTTTTATAGGTATAAGAAAAATGTGAAAATATTTGCAACTGGCAGACCTGGTAGAGAATGTATAGAGTATCCAGTTGCACATCAAGTTAGCTGTCTGACTGCTAGCTTAGCTCAACCTGGAGTCGTAGCTATAGGTAAGGTGACTCGCCAAGTTTTTGTTCTCTTCAAATTAACCCCTTACTGCATGATTTTTTTGTTTTTGTTAAAATAAATATATGTGCTAGTTCATATTAGAAAAGTAACTAGAAAAATATATAAAAAAATTATAGATGCCTATTTTTTTTTAAAAATAGCCTTTTTCGACATGTGCCAAATTTGACACAAATTGCAATAGTTGAATAATAACGGAAAAATTTACTGAAACCATATATGTTATAAATCGTTAAAAATACATGGGAAAACACCTAAACTAAATGTAATTTTGAATAAACATTTATTTACTCCAGATGAAAACGGTCTGTGTTCAAACATAATCTAACATTACATTTATCACACCAAACTTGTGTTTTCCCCTTACACTCAGGAAATTTGCATCTTTGGCGATCTTCATGCCACTCAGAAAGATGTCCCACATTGTCGCGACGAATTTCTTGGGCTGGTATTTCCGCAAAAGGATATTTCCTTTTTTTTAAATCCAGTTGAGGCTGTAGTGAGCTATTAGGTCTGCCTCGCTTTTTTGAAGTTACGTGGGATCTTGTTAGAATTTCTGCTAAACCAAGTTTGAATTCAGCCAGTGGCAAATAGTCATCAGAATTGACCTCAGTGAGAGCTCTTCTCCACAATATCCAACTATTACAGCACAACATGTCGAGGAAATGGAAAAATATTCTTGGGTAAAATTTTTTTGACCTTATAAGTATCCTATGGTATCCTAACATCGAGTCAAGTAGATCAACACCTCCCATATAGTTGTATACTCTTTGGACGAGGAATCATAATGTGCTTTTTTTCCTTTCTGCAAAATGCCCTCTTTGCTGAGATAAACCACTAATGGAAGGCCGGTGAACCAGTTATAAAAAAAAACCTTGTAATTTTGATTCCTTGGAACTGACTCTGTAAGTTTCACTACCACATTACTACTTGCCCCAAGATCTGGTTGATAGGCTGCAACTTAGTTGGCCCAGAAAAGAAGTCGAAATCATAACTGAAGCCTGATACTCCGCTTAGTACGAAAACTTTATAGCCCCATTTATGAGGTTGAGCTTTTGTTGGTATAATTTGTTCGTCAACTGCAAGATGCTCTTCTTTTGGGAAAAGTAGGTACCTCTCTCGTGCTTTTTCTAAAAAAGGACGAATTTTGAACAGCTTATCGTAACCAGGTTCATCGCGATTTTGTTGCTTCGTATTATCATTGAAGTGAACAAAACGTTTTATTTCTTCAAATATGTTACATTTCATAGCTTCGGTTATTGCAAGAGCTCTCAGTGTACTACTCCAATAGCTTCTAGTGGATGGCAGGTGCGCTACAGATATGTATATGTCTTCGTCAGATACCCTCAACTGTTAATCTTCCCAATCAAAACAAACCTTGTTTTTTTTCTTTGCCTTTTTTGCTGCAATGAGAGTTGAAAGAGGAACATCGTCTTCACTATCGGAAAAATCATTTTCTTCAATCACAATATCTTCGACCATCTCTCTATCAAGCTGTTCTTCTTCACTGGTATCTTCCACCAGAACTTGAGAAAATGTTTTTCGGTAAAAATCATCATCTGACAAATTTTCATCTTCACTGCCACTCAAGTTCGGAATCCCAACAGTTTTAGCACCATAAAATCGTTTTGCATCCATCTGAAAAAGGGGCAATAATATAGTCAGCTTTTCTTTTACTGCAAGTTGTTCCGATTATGGCACAAGAAAACAAATGACGATAAATCAACATGTGTATGAGTTGAAGGACATAATTTTACAAAAGTCACAATAAGACATACTTACCCGAACGTAGATAATTTTAGTTGCACCAAAAATTTGATTTTTGAACGTTTTATGACCGCAACAACTTTATAAGCGAATGTAGTAACACGTGCTTACGGGCCGCTAAACGAAATCTGACGCAATTCATAAAATACGTGCTAGAGGGCGACAATGTTTCTTGGCGATAGAGAAGCGAGCGTGCCAGATATGGAACAGTTTAGGTTAAGGTCTTTAGCTGTTGGGGGACTTGAAAAATAACATATATTTCACGTGTGCCAAATTTGGGACAGTATGCGGTAAGGGGTTAACACCAAAATTTCTTTTACCGAATTTCAAAAAATGCAATTAATGTCACAGTGGGAAAGTTCACTTTTTGATTTAAAAAAAAAAATATAAACTCAATGAAAAAATATTTATTACTATCAACATATTTGTTGATGTTTATATCTCGTCGAATGTTGTCTTTAAGCTCCTCCAGTGTTCATGGATTATTGGAATACACTTGTTGAAACCACGTGTTTCTGTTAAATCGATGTTCTGTTCTTACAATAGGAGCACAAAAAGTGTCAATCATGTCCTTGTATCGCTCGAAATTGACTGTCAATGCGTGGCAGTTTTCATCTTCAAAGAAATACGGTCCAATAATACCGCCAGAGGATATGGTTTAAGTGTAAATGGGCCTCGACACTGAAAACAACGTTTCCGATTCTGCGCTGTGTAGGAAAAAGATTCAACATCCGTTCAGCACAAGATTTCCGTAATACGTAATCACTTTCCTTTAAAGCATGGACTGATTTGATTTTATAAGGATGAAAAGCCATTTTTTTTTCTTCATTATGCGATGCAGTGTTGATCTATGGATTTCCAAAGCAGCGGAATGCTTCCGGTTAATACTGTAATTCTGGGGCCAGGAATGGGTTGATTTAGAGTAGAGCATGTCTCAGAAAACCTCTTAAACCACTTTTCCAATAGGTTCTTATTTGGGGCATCTCTTGGTCGGCGAATGTTGTTAACTGCATATGAATCACCATTCTTTAAGTAAGCCTCGATAGCAAAAGCACGTTGCGCTCCGGTCCAACGTTTCATTGTGACTATTTACCCGCACGCCAAACGCGTCGATCAAGACCTCTCCCCACTTCCTCGCGTATCCGGTTGCCGCGTAATTCAAATTTGAAATGTGAACTTTCCTCCCACTGTGACATTAATTGCATCTTGAAAATTCGGTAAAAGAAAATAATGGAACGCTTTGTCAATTTGACATCCCTCATAGCAATGTAAATATATCTTAATTTCAGGAACTGTGAAGAATACAATCGAACTAGTTTCTCAGAGTGACGGTACCTTCAGGCACCTCTGTAAGTTGTCAGGTCACAAAGGTGGAGTGACCAGTATGGCATTCTCTCTAGATGGCTTCCGTTTGTATAGTGGGGCGAGAAAAGACAAAGAAATCATATGCTGGGATCTACGTGTAAGGATTATGTCGTTTTTGTCGTACGTTCATAATAATGTGCCAAGGATGATTTTCTTTTGAAGCATGTCGTTATACCAAATGGGATAAATTCAAGCCCCATAAGGCTGAGTCCACACCTGCAGATGGTAGGCTTGGATTTGGGGTCTAAAGCAACACAGTTTACTGTTACAAAGTTGCTGACGTGTTGGGATAATTTATTTCCTTTAGGGCTCTACAAAAAAAAATATACTAACTGCATATACATATATGAATTAACAATTTAAACAATTTTTATTGTTTCAGTTAAGTAAGTATGTATATGTAAAAATTCATTTCTACGTTTTCCAGGTCATTGCAAATGAATATTAAATCAGTTTGCAAAAAAGGGCGGATTTCATATGGTGTAACATTTTTGCAAAAATGTTTTGATTGAGCTCAAATTTAAGTTTTCAGGGTCGCTACTAACGAATTTGATATCGATTGTTGAAAAATCGAAATAGCGGTTCGAATATGGCTGCTATTTTTCCAAAAAATGTCTTCATTGCGATATTAAGTTTGAAGTACTTTTAAGATCGCAGATTACAAGTTAAATATCGATTTTTAAAACATCTAAATGGCGGATCCAGTATGACGGTTATGTTTGCAGAAATGTGTCGATTGTGCTTGAATTTCGGTTTTATGTATTTTCAAGATATAATTCATGCATTATTGTATAATGTCGCATAATTGCCGAAATTGCATTTCGATGCAGCCAAAATTTGCTTATTTCTTAACTAGGTGTCTGACGATAAACATGTTATTATTCGAAATAGAGCGGGCTGGGCTTTTTAACTATTTCTTTAACATCAATTGCATACTGTTATATATTTTCTTATATACTCCAACCACCACGAAGGCCTAAGGCCTAAACACCCATGGGTACCGTGGGGCTATAGGGCAATACAGGGGAAAGGGGAACGCCACACGGACTCTGGCGAGGGAACACGTGTGCATACAACATGGACACATTCTGGCCCCGCCTACGAGATCTGCCGGGTGGTGCCTCTGCGTTCGACAGTCAGAGAACATCTACCACCTACGGACAATCACAACATCCATAGCCAAGAGAAAAATTTCTCTTGAGACGGGATTCGAACTGCGACCACTGCTGCTGCCTAAATATTGTCATCTGTTATAACTATACATGCCTTCAACTCAGCAATTCATTTTGCATATTCCAATACAGCTGATTATTTTAAAACGTGACACTTTTAGATTATACAATTTTTTGCACTTTTGGTCAGGCCTTTTCGTTCCTGAACCACGCCTAAGCATCTCCACGTCGACACACATGGTTCAAGGAATATACTTCGTTCTTCTTTAGCAATATTTGTTTTGATAATTTTTACCATATTAACTAAATACATGTTAACTTCAAAACGATATTTACATCAGTACAATGATAATTCCTGGAGAAGCTGACACTTAGACGGATTAAGAAATAAATTATTCTCGTCACACCAAGCTATTAAAGTGTCAATATCCCGCTGAAGTGCAATACAATCAGCCTCAGACTCAATAATCCTGAATAATTTTAAATCATCGGCAAAGGGGAGGTTATTACGTCTTAAATATTGCACAATATCATCAATGAATAAGGTAAACAATAAAGGACCAAGATTTGAACCCTGAGGCACTCCCGATTTAGTTACATACTGGTACGACTTGCAGCCATTGAGGGTAACATATTGATTCCTTTCATAAAGATAAATTTGAATGAGTGCTAAAGCTGATGAATGGCATCCAGAAAGTTTATTTAAAAGTATGCCATGGTCCACCCTATCGAACGCTTTAGCAAAATCAGTATATACTACATTTAGTTGACCTTGCCGATCGACACATTCAATAGCGAACTGAGTAATGATTGTTAAATTAGTTACTGTTGATCTCTGGTAAGAAAATCAGGCTGAAATATTATCTCCAGAAGTTTGGAAAAATTTGACAATACAGCAGACGCTCGATAATGTAAACTAATTTAATCCAAGTTTGGTTTACATTATCGAAATGTTTACATTAGCGAACGTGATTTATATAATATTTGATGTATTAAAAGAAACGTTTAATACATACTATTTATAACAAAATAAACAAATATTCTAACAGTATTTTTTTAATTAGAAGAAAAATAATTAACAATTTTTGTCTGCGTAAATTTGCGCTTAGCATTGTCTTCCAATGACTGCGCCCGTAGTTTACGAATAACTAAAATATCCGTGTATGAAACTTCTTTTCTTTCAGCCCAATCTAAAGCTTGGTTAAAAACTTGTATAGCTTGCGCGTCGGTCACTACACTTCTAACTCCAATGGGATCGTTCTCATCATCCTCACTGTCCATATCCTCATCCTTATCAGCATCATTCGTCTGCTTATCTCCGTTCCATAAATTAATATCAGCAGGAGTACAAACAATATTGGGATTCACTGTTTTCAATAAATCAACAACATCCAATGACACACTAATAACATTATCATTATTGGATCGCAAACGTTCTCTAATTACGCTTAAGGGGACATCGTCTTCTTCATCATCTTCATTATTGTTACAAAAGAGATTGTTCCAACATTTTTGAATAGTTTGCTGGTTAACTTCATTCCAGGCCATATGTAAATCTAAAACAGCTTCTCGTAATGTTACTTTTTTTAAAGCCTCAGATAAGTTTTCAGGATTCTTTGATAAGACAGACGAAAGTAGAAACTTCCTATAGTATAGTTTGGTGAGTCTTATTATATTCTGGTCCATCGGTTGAATTAACGGTGTTACGTTGGGCGGCATGTACATGACGAAAATTGACCCATCCCTGCTCCTCAGTTGTTGCTCGGGAGGATGACTTGGTGCATAATCCAATAGTAACTACGCTTTTATTGGAAGCTTCTGTTGTTTTAGGAAACCTTTTACCTACAAATTGAAAACACATCTTCAAATTATGAATAGAGCATTTGTGATAATTGATTGTAATACCTGAGGGACAAAGCACCTGTGGAACCATTTCAGGAATATACTGCTAGTAATCCAAGAAGTTTTTGAACAGTCATAATCAACAGGGATATTAACATTTTTAAATGAGCGCGGATTTTTTGCTTTCACAATTACCAGTGGCTTTATTTTGTGTGAACCATTAGCATTAGTGCAGGCTAGAAACGTTATTCGTTGTTTCTCCGGCTTTCTTCCCGGGGCAGATTTTTCAAATGATGCAGCATAGGTTTTCTCTGGTAACATTTTCCAATAAAGGCCACTTTCGTCTGTGTTGTATATTTGTTCCATTCTTAAATCTAGCTCGGTAATTGTTTTCATCAATTTTTCTTTGAATGGTTGCGCTAATTGTGGTCTTGCTGATAATTTTTCACCAGATATAGACAGCAGTCGAATTCCATATCTTGTTTTGAATCGTTGTAGCCAGCCATCACTAGCTACGAAATTTTCAGTTTCTTTCAGTTTTTCATTTAACAGTCTCCCTCTCTCTTTAACTACTTCGCCACTAACTGGGACATGATCTTCCCGTTGTTTTAAAAACTACTTATACAGGGAATTTTCCATTTTAGGTGCCTTCGCATTTTTTAAAGTTTTTCTTTTTCCCGGACCTCCAAATGTATTGCACGTTCTTTGTAAAATTTGAGTTTTCATACGCTTAATTTTACAGATTGTTGCTTTCGATACTCCATATTTTTTTGCTAACTGTGTCACTCCCGCACCTAGTGCAATATGGTCTATGATTTTCACTTTCTCACTCAACTTTAAACACTTTCTTTTATAGGATGTGGATGCCATAGTCGTAAAATATATTAACGCGTGCAGTGTATTCACTTAAGTTCAAAAATGAAATACATACATACGTATAAACGTATCCTAAACGATCATACGACTGACTGATTTGTTGTATTTTATCGCAGAGGTGAATCCCCTACACTCTACATCATAAATCGGGGACATTTTACCGTCGAGCTGTTTCCGTGCGCCGAGAGTTGTTTACGTTATCGAGCGTACACATTGTTTACGTTATCGCGCGTTCCGTTTGATCCTATAGAACGAAGATTGTGTTTACATTAGCGCAAGTTTTCATTATCCCGTGTTTACGTTATCGAGCGTCTGCTGTATTGCCACAGCTCTATAGTTTTTAATATCAGTATCACCTAGAAGCCTACTCTGGCATTCCATATCAGCACCCAACATATGTTATCCTGTCACTAAGCTCACCACCTACAGTGTGACCTCAGCCTAACACTATACTTTTCCCCATAAATCCACGGTTAAAATGTTGTATTCCTTCACTTTAAGCGCTTAAGTCAGCTTTGGCGTAAATTATATGAACGTACGGTATCTGTACCCTTGGAATTAATTTTACAACCTCTGCTTCTCTTTGTTTTTTTCAGCGAAGCTCTCATTCAAGCTCTGAATTCAGTGTGTCGCATCTCAAGGCACTGTAGTGCAAACTGACTTCAGATTCGCGATTTGCGATGATTTGTATTGTTCTCTATCTGATCGAGGCAAAAGAATATTGACGAAATTTGCGTTTTAGGTGCCAGGTAGACCGATGTTCTGCGTATCTAGAGAAGCAAACACCAACCAAAAAATCTATATAGATCTGTCAGTAGATGGGAAATGGTTGGTTTCAGGCGGAACCGACGGTAAGGTACAAGTGTGGAATGTCGAACAGCAGACTTATCCTACTGTTCACATGCAGGTGGGTGTTTCTTTATACGTACGTTTACATTTTGGAAATATTTTAGCCGCTTTAACGTGGATCTTATATATCAGAGAAGCGATGGCAGTACTGTTCGTGTTGTAAAAATAACCCCGAAACTTGACACCTAAAGTACCAGTGGTGCTTTAACAGGCTTGCAATGTAGGTGGATTTTCTCCCAAATCTCGGTGATTTTTACTCGCAAGTTTCGCGGATAGAAAGCTTCCCCCGATGTTTAAACCAAACCCACCCCTTTCTAGTAATTTTGTTGTGATTTGGAGGATTTTTTAAAAAAAGTAGTATGAAGTTTTTTTGCGCTTATTTTGGGGAAATCCTGACCGATCATCCGGCCACGCGGTGCTTTGAGGGATCCGCCATATGAACATCAACAAACGGATTGCCATTAAGGGCCGTATCGTCAGCCGTTCCTACAACTGTACGAGGGATGTCTTTTAAGTTTTGCATATGGAAATAAAACAACACGGTAGGTAGTTTTAAATGACTTTATTGGTTTTCGAAGTATTCTCCACGAAGATTAATACACATCTGCATGCGCTCGAACCAATTTTCGAAGCACTTATTCAACTCGTTTGCTGGCAGATCCAATGCGTCAACTGCTTCTTCTGGTGACTGGAACCTTTGACCACGCAGTCTGTTTTTAATTTTCGGGAAAGTAAAGAAATCGTTAGGACTTAGATCAGGACTATATGGAGGATGGTCCAATAATTCCACGTTTTCTCCCGTTAAATACTGCCTTGTCTTTTGGGCTGTGTGCGAGCTTGCATTGTCTTGGTGGAGGACGATTCTTCTTTCGGGGTTGATTTTTCGAACTTCGGTGATGACTTTTGGCAAACAAATGGTGGTATACCAATCCGCAGTAACAGTTCTTTGCTCGTTAAGAGGAATTGTTGCAATACGACATGCTTTTGACACAAATGTCTCGACCATCTTTTTCGAAACACTTCGAGAACGGATGACTTTTGTTGGCTTTTCTTCACCTTGGAACACCCAAACAGCCGACTGTCGTTTATTTCCTGGTTCATAACAGTAAATCCACGATTCATCACCACTAATAATGCTGTACACATTTTCTTACTCCTAATTCTCCATGTAAAAATTTTGAATTGAGGTCTTTGAGATCTTCTAGAACGCCTCAATATCGCGATATGTCACATGTCTATCTTCAATGATGAGTGTGCGCACAGCATCGACGTTTTCCTGGGTGACTGCCGTTTTTGGTGCACCCACCCTGGGATCGTCGCTAAGACTCACCCGTCCACGTTTGAATTCTCCAAACCAAAGGGAAATTGTCGACTGATGTGGCGCTTCGTTGCCGAAAATAGACCGTAACTCAGCGAGGCATTCTTGTTGCGATAATTGTCTCTGAAAGTTGTACTAAATTATGTCGCGAAAATGTTCTCGGTTGAATTCCATTTTCCTAATGACTTGGTGACACTTAAAAATTCACTGTAGTGAGAACACTGCACGTATTGTTGAAAAACTTTGAATTTAAGTTTACTAAAGAGTGAGGTTAAGATTCAGTACTGATGTCCTATCCGCGCGGCCTACTATGTTTCTATATGCAAAACTTAAAAGACATCCCTCGTAGGACGCCTTTAGGGTCTCCTTGATTTTCATAATTTTTCCTGTATTTCGCTGTTTCGGGTAAGCGCTCTTTTTTGAGGTTATATTTTCTATTTGAGTTCTAAGATATTTCAGGCTGATAAAACTTGATTTTTATTATCTATCAGCCTGAATTTTTGTAAGATTCAAAAACATAACCTCACAATACCTCAACATTTCCGAAGGAGAGTAAATACTATGGAAATCAAGGAGGCCATAAAGGCATCCTACAATTGTAGGAACGACTGACGATACGACCCTTAGCTCATTGTAAATTAACTCAACCATTTTTGCTTAATTCTTGTAAATCCCTGGTGTAGATAGCCGGACATCTGTTCGAAATTGTTACTGTTACTCAGCTATTTGTGAAGAACTGCTGAAAAGCCTCTCGTTGTACGGTGATGCATTGTTTAACGAGGAGGTTCGTTGTTTGGAATTCCTGCTAGTCTCTAAAATGCTGGTGAAAAATTCAGTCTTCTGTCCAAAGACCGACCAAATTTATGGATTGATTAATTGAAGATTGGGTCCTTGATGGAAGAATAACCAAAATATGCAAGAATTTGTTCCGGATGTTTTAGAAAAAGTAACGTCTTGAGAAACAAAATTGGTGAAACTGAACGTGTATTTTATAAGAGATAGGCAATTATGATCCTGATTGAATTCTGAAACATGGAATTCTACAATCCTATTATTTTTTGATACTAGACTAAAATGGTGCAATCTCACGCGTAGTATCATAAAAGTTAATTATAATACCTAGGGGACAACTCAACAGATTTTACGAATAACTTTTGTTTTCATAAAGTTGAGTAAAAATCACTTGCGAAAAGTGTGATTTATAACTATGAAAACAGAAGGTATTCGGAAAACCTATAAGTTGCACCTAGCTGATTAGCTTTTAGTGGGAGATTTGACGATTTAGTTTAGTGTCAAACCGTGGTATCGATATAAATTGCCAGTTTGAGGTTAAAATGTTTCCTAAACCTGCGCATGGGCAGTATAGCTTATTTCACGAGTATCTGTCATGGTAGAATGACACCTGATTATCTAGTAATATCTCAAAATTCCCCATATCGGCACAGGACACGTAATTCTGACGGATCCGTCAACGTCAGGTAGTCAGAGTCGTATTTTGTTTTGGTTTTTTGTACGCTACAGATTCATTTTGTACTTGTTAACAGCTCTTTTATTTAGTTGAGTTCTGTTGCTTACAAAAAACAAAACGCTCCAAACAGTTTTACTAGATTTACACCCGATTCATTATTGCCTAACTAACACAAAAATTTCACTTGCTGATCAGCTATTTACCTCAGTAGATGTCAAAGCGTGATGAATACTTTTGAAATAGGGTATAGCTGGTATACTCCAGTCTCTGCGCCCTGAGTCTGGCGTCAAGTTTTGGGCTCGTTTTTTCTCATTTCGCCTGTTCGTCTGGAATATAGGCTATATGCCCTATAAGTCTGTTACCTGTCCGGCATCATAGTTACGTAAAAAAAATCGGAATCTAATCGCAACCGTTGTTATCAAACGCAAAATTCTTCCTAGGTACTACGTTACTCGGGCAGCTCACGCGCATCTTTTTTCTTTTGATAGGGAAAAGCTTTTATAGCCACTCTCGGGCAGGAACAACACGACAGTATTACCCTGCCGGCCCTTCCTGCCCGAAGTGTAAGAATCTCCAGAAATAGCATAATAACTAAAACCCCTCAGTCGTTCGCCACACATCCAATCACGGTAGTTCTTGCAGCATTTCATCATAGTGGGTAGCATTGCGCTAGGTTTTCATACCAAAGGTATGCTCTATCGTACACATACGTATACTTTATCTGAAGTCACTTGAAATAGCATAAAAACCTTTGGTCGGCGCGTCCTTTGTAATTTCATGACGTATCATAGGCGTGCGGTCATTTATTTAGAACGATAATAATGTTTTTATATCACAATAAATGGATTTTACTATCTTCTTATTTTTTTGATTTGGGATAAAAAATACTTATATTGGGAGTTTAATTTATGTTGACTGAAAGTTAAGAAATGGAAAAATTACAGAATTCCGTTTGACATAGGCAAATATTTACATAGCAGGTAGGTATATAAAAAGGTATATAAAGACTTACATTATAGGTATTTATATATCATCCTCGCCTTCGGAGCTGTCGCTAGAGTCATCTTGTAGAGGAATTACAACGGGATTTACAGGAGGCAAAACACAATATTCATTTTCTTTTTCAATAATATGCCTAGAACACTGCTTCCATAGGTCTGTGGCAGCAATATGAGATACTGCATCTCTTATTGTGCCCAATAGCGATTCACTTAATTGAGGGGTCTGATTATGTTTTCTTACTTTTTTTTAAAGCAGCCCAGACCAACTCAATCGGGTTAAAAATGCAGTAATAGGGAGGTAGACGTAATACTTCATGGCCATTTTGCTGAAGCAGATTGTCAACAACATACTCTTTTTCAAATTTTTGTCTTTTAATAAGATCCAATAATATGGCTTTGGTTGATTTTTGTGGTATTTCAATTCCCTTATCCTTCATAAAATCAATAATGTCTTGTTTTTTGTGCCTGTATTCGGAATTTTGTTTTTCTGTCGGGAATGGTATGGCGCATTGTCCATAATAATCACTGAATTTGGGGAAATGTTTGGTATTAACTGCTGCTCTATCCACTTTTCAAATAAGTCGGAGGTCATGTCCTCATGATAGTCGGCACATGATTCTTTGATATTTTTGGCAGATAACAGCAAGGCATTAGGTATAAATCCATTTTCACTGCCAGCATGGAGAATAATGATTCGTTTTCCACGGTTGCATGGTGCATTTAAAATGCACTTGTTGCTGTCGTCAACCCAGCCGTACTGCACAACATCATGGGTGTCATACCACGTTTCATCCAGGTAAATCAGATTTCTTTTCTGCTCTCTATGGATTTTAACTTTGTGCAAAAATTCTTGGCGCAATTCAACGAGTCGAGACGACTCCATAATCACCATTCTTTTATCTAATTTTTTGTATTGAAAACCACACAGTTTTACAATACAGTGCAGTGAGTCTAAGCATTTGTAATTATAAAAATCTTCAGGATAATCTTTTAATTTATCCCGTATCATTTCCAACGTGGGCACCAAATTTTCTTTATAAAATCCGTATATTATACGACGAATATCTTCCTGAAAACCCACGTCTATTCTTTTTAATTTTTGCCCTATGCGCTTTCTGTGGAAGGAATGGTTGACTACATCTCCCCTTTTTATAACCCGATAAATGGTAGACCGACTGATTTTTGTCAGGATACAAATTCTGTTTAAAATTTGATTTTGCGAGGAATCTGGATTTTCGTTTTACAGACAATCATACATATTTAGGATTACTCTTTGGGTCTGTTCCTGTAAATCTTTATGAAAGAATTCTGCCTGCACAGGTTCATCAACCATCTCCTCGTGGCTTGGAGCATTTTCCCAAGGTCTCCAAAGAGCCATATTTAGGACACACAAGAACAATCAACACAACAATTAAATCAACAAGTAAACTGAGTATTCAAAAGTCAAAAACACACAAACTAATAAAATCTATGAAAAAACACGGACAGACTAAAGAAAACACATTTATTCACCGCTACACGGCACTGGCTAAACTGTTTCAATTTTCAGTAGCCACCTGCACTTGTTCGGAGCTCTGAAATACACGCTTTCTCATTGGCTATGTCCACGCATAGGCGTGCTTTACTCCACGTGGACCGGTGAAACTGCCTTTGATCTTATACTATATATATTATATTTGCTGCGAAATTTGGCGATTTTTGCAGCAACAGAGCGTGTTAAATATAGATATATAAAACGCACCCGGTATTTCACAGTGTTTCAAGTGACTTCAGATAAAGTATACATGTACAATTGATCAAAATAGAAACCTAGTATTGGCTCCTTTGTCTATTTTAGTTAGTCAAAACAACCATGTTCTATGAGGAATCCCGTCAATCCAAGTCTTTATATCCAGGAAAAGCGACAAGAAAAAAAGAGAAGTACCAGTTTTGCTTTTGACAGCAGTGGTTGCTGCTAGATTGCGATTTTCACAGGGTTAAGACTTGTCTATTATATCGGTGAAACATATTATGTTAGCCTGAGATCTGCTTGAAATCAAAAAACGTCAGCTACCATAATGAAAGTGTGAAATATTTACAGGCCGTATTTCTGCTGTTTCTGCTACCAGAACTATATCAACGATACAAAGCTGAAACACCAGGATAACAATAACTTTCATTCCTTTTCACAATCAATATAGAAAACATTTACAGGATCGGTGCTACTATATCTCTCACAAACACAGTAGTCGGTAAAGTGTATCGCTCAAAATCTATACAGAATAGTAATTCGTAAATTCGTTTATAGATGGGGCTACACAAGGACTGTGTCAACGGGGTCAGTCTGCATCCTTACCGACCGATTTTGGCGACCGCGTCAGGACAACACCACGCCCAAGATCCACTACATCACACCAGACATGCGAAAGTGTACGAGAACGCGTTGGGTATGTGGTGGTTGGGCCAGCAACAGGAGGACAATGATATCATTACTGCCATCATTAAAGCAGCCACTCATACTTAACTGTAGGTTTATTTAGGTGTTACTCTGTTGAATAAATTAGGTTTTTGTATAAATTGGTGTTTTATTCTGAGCTACCAGAACCTGTAATATGTTATCTGCCGCGATATACCTACAGCATTAGATATACAGGGTGGCACATCGAAAACGAAACAAACGCATTTACTGGAAGCTCAGTTTTTTTTTGAAAAACGCTCAGACCCGTCGATTTTGTTTTCGAGGGGGACACAAGTTTGGCAAAAAATCACGTTAACACGTGCAGCCCCCTGAGCGGGGGTGACACCAACCCTAAAATCTTAAGTGGAAATGGGGGTCGAGTGATACCTTATTTTAAAGGTCTTTCAATTTTTTTTTTTTTTTTTTTTTTATGTCGAAACAGCCGCGCAGGCAGAAGCCTAAATGCCGGAACACCGCGGCTGCTATGATGATCCCAAAGAAATTTTGTTAATACGATTTTTGAACTGCTTAAGGTTAGTAGAACTGGGAAAAGCTTCCTCCCGTAGTTTGTTCCACAATCTAGACACCCTCGGGACAAAGGAGCGGTCGTATCGGCCAGTTCTGGATGTACGAAGTTTGACACGGTTAGGATGGGACGCCGAAGTCAGGCGGGTCAGTCTGGCAGGCACATCGCGCGGCGGCATCATGGAAGAGAGCTCTGAGGAGCAAAGCCCGTTGGTGTAGCGATAGAAAAGAGCCAGATCGCCGACGGCCCGCCGGTGCGAAAGAGTCCCGAGACTGTCTGTTAGAGAAGAGTCATCGATCAGTCGGACCGCCCTCCTCTGGACAGCATCGAGCATGGACAATGTAGTCGGGGCGGCAGCACCCCAAATGTGTGAGCAATACTCGAGGCTAGGCCTTATCTGGGCCTTGTATAGAGTGAGAAGGTCATGCGGAGAAAAGTACTTCTTAGCCCTAAACAAATAGCCTAGCTTTTTCCCAGCAGCTGCAGCTATTGAAGAGATGTGTTCGTGCCAGATCAGGTCCTCGGTGAACTGGACTCCGACCAGCCGAAATGAATGGCTCTTTGGTAGGAATCGACCGTCCATCGAAACTGTATGAGCGCTAGGACGCTTTTTGTTCGTCAAAGTACAGTACTGTGTTTTGGAAGCATTGAACTGTACAAGATTGTTGCGTCCCCAAGCAGTGATAGCCTCCAGGTCTCTTGTCAGAGAAGAAGTCGTCGCTAGTCTTCCTTTTTCCAGCTCAGCGGCAGAGATCGGCTTGTCACTCTGAATTCCTGCATGTAGAGTGCTGTCATCAGCGAAGCTGTGGATTGGGTTGATCGTGCAGGAAAGGAGGTCGTTGATATGTAAGAGAAACAGTGTTGGAGCCAAGACCGATCCCTGGGGAACACCCGCGTTGACGTTGTGGGATGAAGAGGAGAATCCGTCAATTACGACGGATATCTTGCGGCCAGAGATAAAGTCAGCCACCCATCTGCAAAGCTTTTCTGGGAGGCCGTAGGATGGAAGTTTGCTCAAGAGGGCAGCGTGCCACAGCTGATCGAACGCTTTCGTGATGTCAAGAGCAACGACATGAGCCTCACCATGAGACTGGATGAGTTTACTCCACAGTTGCGTGACGTAAGCTAGGAGGTCCCCTGTGGATCGTTGGTGCCGGAAACCGTACTGCCTGTCGCTAATCAAGCTGTGACGTTCGAGGTAGTCCAGAAGCTCGCGATTTATGCACCTCTCCATCACTTTACTTATAACAGAAAGCAGAGCTATAGGCCTGTAGTTGTAAGGGTCGGTTTTAGATCCTTTTTTTGGGATGGGCTGTACATGAGCAAATTTCCAGTTTTCTGGGAAGGTGCCGGATTCATAAGATATCTGGAAGAGACGCGAAAGGACTGGAGCAAGCTCAGCTGCACATCTCTTCAGTACAATGGCAGGAATCAAGTCCGGACCAGAAGCTTTGTTGATGTCGAGCGACAAGAGCACTCGTCTTACGGTCTTATGCCTGAATGTTACCTCCCGCATAGTGTGGGGAACCCTTTGAATTGACGGCACTTGGGCGTTGGTGGGGACGTCCATGGTGGAGTTGGCAGCAAAGATCTTCGCTAGCACTTCCGCCTTGGCCTTTGAGTCGAATACAATAGTTCCATCCTGACACGTAAGTGGTGGAAGGCTACTGTGTGAGAAGTTCTTTTCAATCTGCTTGGCCAGCGTCCAGAAAGACCGACTGCCATTGCGCTGCGACATTACCCTGTGCCTAACTTTTATATCATGCTGGGTTTTGGCATTGCGAACCGCTTCGTTATATTTGTTTCTGGACTCGACGTCGGCTTGTCTGTTCTCTACAGTGGGGTTTTGTAAGTAGGTTCTGTGGGCCTTGATCTTCTGCTGGCGAGCAGTGTCACACGATTTGTTGAACCAGCCGTTGGACCCTGGTTTAGGAACTTTCACTGTGTGAGGGATGTATTCCCTTTATATTGATGTAAAATACATGAGCTTCAGTTCAGTAGTTTTGAAGATTTATTGATTTAAAGCATAAAGTAGACTTTAATAGGTACATCAGATTAGTTTGTACTACTTTCAGAAGAAATTTAACTAAAAGAATTTACTTAATAAGTAAATGCTTTTCTTCACTACGCCCATGGTTTGTTTATCATTTTGTTGTTGAAAATAGCTATTGGAGCGTTTTCTTGTGGCAAAAAAGTTATTTCTTGAAGAAAGATAAGGAAATATCTCGTACTTATTTTAAATAGGAATTTAGTACATAGTTTGCGATTGATTTGACGAAACTTTGTTCCTAAAATAACTCGTAACGCTTTATTACATAAATTAACTATGGTATATTCGACAGCAGAAAGAGTTGAAATTATCGAAATATTTTTCGGAAATAATCAGTGCGCTAATAGAACAGCAGAAATATTTAATGAGCGACATGAGAACAGTAACGTGCATCGAAAATATGTTTTAGAACTTGTAGCTAAATTTCGAGAAACTGGGTCAGTCGCCAATAAAAAACGCAACATTGAAAATCCCATAAGGAACGAAGCAATGGAAGTGGGGGTTTTATGGCAAGTTTATGTAGATCCTACGTTAAATACCCGCAAATTGGAGACTGTGAGTGGTGTTAGTCGACGTACTGTCCAACGGATTCTAAAGGCCCATAGTTTTCATCCGTACAAAATTCACCTGGTACAAGAACTTAATGAAGACGATTTTGATCGGCGATTACAATTTTGTGAAGATATGAGTGAACGAATTATAAACGATGAACATTTTCTATTCAACACTTGCTTTTCCTACAAATGTTCCTTTTTCTTAAATGGCGTAGTAAATCGTCATAACAGCCGATATTGGTCCGTTTCTAATCCCAGAATTTATCATGAGGTTCATACACAGCAGCCACAAAAATTAAATGTTTGGGCTGGTATTTTGGCGATCATCTAGTTGGTACTTTTTTCTTACCTGGAAATTTGACCGGTGAAATGTATTTCGAATTACTGGAAGACGCCATAGATCCTGCATTAACAGCCATAATTGAAAATCAGAATGATCGGCGGTACATTGCGGATAGGTTGATGTTCCAACAGGATAGTGCCCCACCACATTACGCATTACGTATTCGACAATATTTAGATCAGACGTTTCCAAATCGATGGATTGGTAGAAGATCGCCAGATTAATCACCTTTGGATTTCTTTATGTGGGGTCATTTAAAAATCAAAATCTATACTACTCAGCCAACATCATTAGAAGACCTGCGACAAAGAATTTTGAATGAGTGCCTTCAAATTACTCCTTAAATATTGCAAAATGTGCGGCAACGTTTTGAGCAAAATCTTTATTATTGCATGGAGAGTCATGGTGGCCATTTTCAGCATTTACTTGACTAACGGGTCAGTTCATTCTTCATTTTTAAATTACTTTGCTGCCAAATGTATTGATCTCCACTAATGATGATGTATTAGTTTTATTTAAGCTTTAAATCAATGAATCTTCAAAACTACTGAACTGAAGTACATTAATTTTCATTATAAAGGGAATTGAAAGACCTTTAAAATAAGGTATCACTCGACCCCCCTTTCCATTTAAGATTTTGGGGGTGGTGTCACCCCTGTTTAGGAGGCTGCACGTGCTAACGTGATTTTTTGCCAAACTTGTGTCCCCCTCGAAAACAAAATCGACGGGTCTGAGCGTTTTTCCAAAAAAAAAACTGAGCTGCCAGTAAGTGCGTCCGTTTCGTTTTCGATGCGCCACCCTGTATAATACCGCCAATACACTCGCGCCGAGACAGCAGGAGGCAAGATGACTTTCTTTACACCAAAGCAGCCGCGCAGGCAGAAGCCTAAATGCCAGGGCATCGCGGCTGCTATGAGGATCTCAAAGAAACTTTGTTATTCCGACTTTTGAACTGCCTAAGGTTAGTAGACCTGGGAAAAGCTTCCTCATGTAGATTGTTACACAATCTCGACACCCTCGGGACAAAGGAGCGGTCGTATCGGCCAGTTCTGGTTGTAAAAGAGCCTAGTGCATGTTCACCCGCAGGAATTTTTCTCAGGGGGTACGATCGTCGGTAAGAGACTATTTGTAAAGTGTACCTGCCCCACCACTTTTTGAAGAACGGGGGGTGTCAACTTTTCTCACAGGGGGCCATATCCTAAAAATCCCCAGAAATATATAAAACCATGCTAACTATTCAAATTTTAAGGTCTAACCGGAATCTGGGAGACACCAAAAAATACGTGATGACAATATATCATTGTTACGAGGAGAAGTCTTAAAGATCAAGTGTACTCGTGGAGATTTTTTAAATATGCCCTGATAAAAAATACACTAAACTTAGCTGGAAGTTGTTTATTGTTAAAAGTTTTGTAAGAAATAGAAAATACAATAAAATTAGGCTCACATACTTCAGTGTAAAGAATACAAATCTGTGATCGCAACAGTTGCATGAAAAATATTCTGTATAAGACTTCATGCACCGTTAGATAAAGATATATGCTCAATTTTAATGAAACTAGTATATGTCTGATTACGCGTTAACCTCAGTGCATGACCATTTCGCAAACGAATAGAATATATTTTCTAGAATTTTACAGTGGTACCTACAACATTAACAAAATCAAGCAATATTTTGTAAACACAGTTATTTAATTTATGCAAAATCAAGTTACAATCTTTTGGATACAGATATGAATAATAAAACAGTAAACAAATGAATAACGATTCTTATGGTACAGATACTCGATGACATTTTACATTCGGATAAGTCTTTAAAAACCACTCTTGAATGGCAGAGCTGTTAGTTTGACGAGTATAAAGTTTTGTTATGCATCTGTACTATTAGAAACGATTTAAGCAGAAATGAAGATCCTCCACCAAGCAAAATGATATTTATTCCCAACATGAAATGACAAAAAGACAGCCAACAAAAAAATTAAAGTAGGTGATGTGTATTATTTACCTATATGCGTGTTAAATCATAGCATACAAAACGCTAGAGTACACAGCAAGCTTTATATAGACAGAAGCTCTGATTTCAGCAAAATAAAAAAATCATACACGGCATAAAAAATAAAATTAAAAATTACTAAATAATACTATATCTATTATGAACTGTGCTGATTATGTGATGGAATAAGTAAAAAGTGTGTAAAATGTTATACGAGAATGGAAGCAAAATGATTTTGATACCCGTTTCACATCGACAATAAAATCCATGGATTTCTACATGAACCGAGTTCATGGCCAAATTTCAAATGTATACAACAGAAATCATACGTTAAATAAATTCATGAACTTCTTCGTGGAAGTCTTCACGCAATTATAAGACTTGTTCTAATTTTTGTCAAGTTGCACGCACTGCAAAACATAATCTGGATAACTTTGAAGAAATCCATCTGTTGATGTAAAACGGGTATAGTATATATTTTGAATACAATATAACAATTCAATGAAATGCAATGAAAAAATTCCGACACCACAATAATGAAATGGATGAGTTAAATGGAAATTAATATAAGTATAACCTATTTATTACGTAAAATAGTGGAAAACAACATGTGCATTGCTGAATTCAGAACTCCGATATAATAGATTGAAATTGGCGATATAGGGAAGAAAAAAGAACTACTAATAACTATAGTGAAATTGAAGCGGTAACAAAAAGTGTGTGTAACAAATGATTAAAGACAACTTGAGAGAACAATTAGTTGTCTGCAGAGACCAAGTTGATACATCTGTCAATGTCAAGTGTTTGTTGGATGAACGGCTCGTCCCTCAAGATTTGGCCGGTGCGTTGGATGATGTTCAACAATTTGTTTTTCGGCAGGTTTAACTGATCGTTACACACGGAAAGTTTGTCCAGCAGGTCTTTGTTAATCTGGAAAAAAAGGCGAAATTATATTTCTTGCAATTTTTGGCATTTCAGCTGCCAAGTCAGAATTGAAGTCAATCTCGTGAAATGAGTTCAAAAACGGCTCAACGACAAATCGGATTTCACCAGCGACATCCAGTGATATTACTTCTTGGTTCACATATTCCTGGCGAAACTCGTAACAGACTGATCTAGACCAAAACATCAGTCAGTTATAAACAGGAGTCAATTTCCAGTTTGTGAAATCCGCATGCGTACGAAGCTAATAACTGTGGTGCAAATTATACAGGGTGACAGGTAAATAGGTGTAAAACATTTTAGGAGGTGATAGTACAGCTCCTTTGCTATCAAAATTAGTATATAATACCATACCCTATATTCAAAGGTTAAAAAGTTATGAAAGATTTAATTTTTTTAAAAAAACAACCCAGATTACAGAGTAAAATAGTTGAGATAAAAAAAAGTTGGTGATTAAACATTCTTTTTTTGGTGGTTTCAGGTTATTATTTAAATAAATAATTCTCATAAATTAAAAATACATATGAAAACACTACTGAAAACGTATTTATTATCATTTAAATGTTAAATGAAAATTTTTATTTTCAACTTTCACATCAAGAAGTCCTTTTTTTTCAAAAAAATCGTCATAAAGAAAATGTACAAATAACTTCAAAAACTTCCTCGTTTCATTAGGTTTCTAAAATGGTATAATAACATATCAGTAAGTAAACCATTTAACAAAACAATATTACTTTGCTAGAAAGGACTGCTAAGCGCATTTCATTGCACTGGTAAACCGAGCCTTTCATGGTTCGACCCTTTTTGTTATTTTTTGTGCCCTGTGCCGTTATTCGGGTTTAAGTATTCGGAATCTGTCGTCGCTCCTCGGAAGCAAGCTCTGCGTGCGTTATGAATTGACACAGCTGACGGATCAAGGAAAGGGAACTAACGCTTAGGTTAGTTAGTAGAATATCAACCTTTAACGCGGTAGGACGTACTTTTACTTTTTTGATCAGTTTTAATAATGGCGAGTTACCGTAACGAAGAATACGCTGATATTCTGTTTTGTTATGGTTTAAGTGATGGAAATTCCGTTGAAGCTAGGCGAGAATACGAAAACCGTTTTCCGATTCGGCGAATACCGAGTCATCGAGTATTTGCTTCTGTGTACCAACGCGTCAACGAAAGTGGACAGGTTCATGAGAGACGTCATGATGCTGGAAGACCTCGGTTGTTTGACGACGAAGATCGAGAGGCAATACTGGAATGCTACGGCAGAGACCCGACGACGTCTACACGAGTTATAGCAAAGCAGCTTGGTTTAACTCAGTGGAAAGTTTGGTTCGTTTTGCATTCGGCGAGACTTTACCCTTTCCATTACACACCGGTTCGAGTATTAGAAGAAGGAGATCCCGCAAGAAGATACATGCGATACATGCTTCATCGGGATCAAGAAGAAAACGGCTATTTAACTAAAATATTGCGGACCGACGAGTCTAAGTTTGACAGAGAGGGGACAACAAATTATCAGAACTTACATTATTGGGCCCCACGAGAGGCAAATTCCCACATGGCAAAGCCAAGAGCCCATCAAAGAAGATTTTCGGCAAACGTATGGATGGAAATCATTCATACGTATCTAATTGGACCAGTTTTTTTGCCTGACAACCTGAATGGCGAATCCTATCAAAACTTTTTGAGATCCGAACTCTGGGAGTATCTCGAAGACCTGCATCTGAATATCAGGATGCGGATGATCTACCAACACGATGGCTGTCCCGCGCATTTCCGTCTGGGTGTTAGACAGTGGCTGGACGAGAAATATCCTTGTCGCTGGATTAGCCGAGGTGGACCGACACCGTGGCCAGCGAGGAGCCCAGATTTAACACCGTGTGACTATTATTTATGGGGGCACATGAAGTCACTGGTGTACGCTGAGCCCATAGACACTCTTGCACAGTTGAAAGAAAGAATTATTGCTGCTGCTGACACTATCAGAGGACAACTAACTGGCCGCATCACGCGTACCAACATGAGAAAAAGACTACGGGCTTGCATAAGAAACGGCGGACGTCAGTTCGAACAACAATTGCAATGAATTTTACCTTCATTTCATTATTGTATTTTACTTACCAATTGTAGTAACTTTTAGTCATTTTTTATTATTCTGTAATACAATTACAACTGTGTAAATAATCTAATCGTGTAACTTAACCGTAGTTTAAAATAATAACTATCCCATAGCTTACAGTTACATTATTTTCACAAAAACACTTTCTTATCAATCAGAGAGTTGTGAAAATAGGAGACAAGCCATTGGTAAATTTACTCCCTATTGTTGTATTACAATACATTATGTTTAGTTTCACACCGTTTTTGTGCACTTATCATACCAATTTAGATTCCTGATGAAACAAGGATATTATTTAAATTGTTTGCACGTTTTTTTGTATACTGATTTTTTTGTAAAACACCTTACCTACTGTAAAACGTTATTTGTTTTTCTTAGTTAAACATTTTTGAATGAAAATAAATACGTTGTTTGGTATTGTTTTCGAATCTTTTTTAATTTATAATAGTTAATTATTGAAATAATAACCCAAAACCACAAAAAACAAATGTTTAATCGCCAACTTTTTTCTCTCTCGACTTTTTTACTCTGAAATATGGATTGTTTTTAAAAAAATCTTAAATCTTCAATAACTTTTCAACCTTTGAATATAGGGTATGGTATTATATACTAATTTCGATAGCAAAGGGGCTGTACTATCACCTCCTAAAATATTTACACCTATTTACCCTGTATACGACCATGGAGCCAGGACAAACTACGGCAGTGTAGTAAAAACGTCCCTAAACTTGACACCTGGCGTACCAGTGGTGCTTTGACAGGGTTGCCATGTTGGGGGATTTGTCTCCAAAGTTGAGAGATTTTTTCTTTGGGATCTAATGTTCTGGGAGATATCACACGTCTTGTGGATAGGAAGTATCCGCCCACTCTTTGAACCAAACTTACCCATTTCCATTAATTAACCGTCGTTTGGGGATTTTTTTTTTGAAAAATAGCAATTCCATAGGCCGTCTGTCTTGATACGAAATTTAGTACGCTAAATTTCATTCAAAATTAAGGATAGTGCCACAGCAAATTAAATTCTTTCTTTCCCTTAGCAGCAAATAACTAAACAGGTATAACAATAAATACAGTTCGCCCAGGATATCTGTATTGATGAAAAGAATGCGGACAAAATTCGGGTTGTTATTTGGTTGTTGCCAGGTCTAATCTTCCGAATTGCTGTTTATGTTGGTAGTTTCCGTTTTAATTTATAAACGAATTGTAGATTTGGCAAACCCTAACGAGCAACATTTTGAACGCTTATTGAAATAAAAAGTGATATTTTCGGGTGTGTTTGTTTTTTGAACAAATTAAGATAAATACAGATTTTTCTAAATTTCTCGAAAACGAATCCTCCGATTTAAAAAAATTAAAGGTCAAAATAAAGGACCTTTCAAACAAGCTATTACTCGACGTCCCTTGTCATTTAAAATTCTTAAGGGAACGACCCTGGGGGCCGAGGGTGAAAGGGGGTGAATTAGTTTTTGGTTAAAAAGTTGTCCCTTGACAAATCTTTTGACGTGTCTCTGCGTTTTTTCTTTATACTGCGGTTTTCGATAAATCCAAGGCGGCAAGTTTTCAAATGAACAGCCTGTATATCTCGATAAGAGCAAGTGTAACCCTTACCTTAGCTTGCAAGAAGTCCGAAAACTTCATTTTAATTCTCTGCTTCCCCATGCTCTGGAAGAACACCGTAAACTCATCCCCATTAGCTTTGACCTTGAAGTAGATCCCTGCAATTAGGTTACCCTTCTGGTCTCTAGACAGTAAACTTCTGAAGCAGTACACAAGGTTCCTCCTCTCTGTGACGTCAACCGCTGTCTGGTAAGGTCTCCCAACGTAGATGAGACCTGTGAAGCATTCCTGTTTACCCTTACGCGTTGTGCGTTCGTCCCATTCCACGAAATTGGGGTTGAACGAGCTGAAGTGGTAGCAGTATTCTTTGCAGACGTCGTCGTCTTCAGCTTGGATGTACCAGCCTAGAGAAAAATCGAGTGTTCAAGCACGCAAAGAAAAATAAGAATAAGAAGTAGAAAAAAAGAAATATAGTGACTGACTCCTAATTTTTGAACCTGCTACAGTAACCAGGAAGTTGAACAACGACAAAAAATTATTGGAATGTCTAATATCTAAATACGGGCTTCATTAAGGGTGGACATTTTACTTTTTCGTCCATCACAGTCCTTTTTGAGTAATAAAGGGGACAAGTGACTGACTGTAACATCTCATGTAATCCAAAAAAGTACATCGTTTCCGAAAGAGTTCCCTCTGAAGTATTAGGGTCCAAAATGTTGAAGTGTCAAATAAATATATGCGTTTCTAGTTTCGAGGTAGTTTGAAGAAGTTCAATGTTACATATTTACCTGTATGAGGATAGTTATTATCATTCATAATGGTGATTACTCTAGAAACGTGGTATCCTGGGTCACAAAGCAAAACTCCCGTTCTTCCAGAGAACTGAACCTTCAGGCATAACAGAACATGCTCTTTTTCCAGTTTGTATGTTGACTCCACCCTTTGACTGGAAATAAACAGAATTTATATGATCTCAGGAATCCTTAAAATACCTCGGTGTAAGCTTAGAGAGAAATTTTAGAGCAACCAGAATGATCCCGTGTACAAATATTTATTTTTACAGTTTAGTAGACGTAAAAGTACAAAAATGAGCAATCCAAACCTCTTACATTTTCTGACCTCCAAAAACTACCGAATTGCAACGTTGCATTAGCACATAAGGTGGTTCAAAAAGCATCTGTCAACTGTAGAAATAATATGGACTATAGAAGAGAAGCGTCACTCCGTAGTTAAAACAGTAATTGGAGAGGTGTCTGAAATGATATTGTGGTGTCTAAAATCCTGCATGCGGTTTAACTGTGGTGTCTGTGATATAGCAGGTAGTGAGGAGAAAGGTAAACGTCCAGGTTATGAAGGTCTCCTGCAGTTAGTTGACCGCAGAAGTGTTTCACATGTCGCAAAACATGCAGGAAGTGGGGTGCTGATATTTTGATGCTTCGCTAATGATGTAAAGTATATTTTTTGGTATTTGAGTTATCGTCGCTTTAGTTCCAACACTACGTTACTAAAAAAATTAAGACATGCATTTACATGTTAAAGGTCACCGTGATTGCAGAAACCTCGTCAGTAGACAGTATCTCAAGCATATGAGGTTTTATTTGCCACCAGACAAACATGGAGGATTATAAGAGAAATGCATGTCATTCGATAGCGAATCCAAAGACCCACCGTTCTTTTAGCTCTAGTGAAAAGTTGTTTTGTGTGACACGGTATTAGAACTCAAGCGACGATATGTTTTTTTTATTGAACAGCTGTAATTATCGGAGAATATTCATTCAACATTATTTTTGTTGAGTTCACAGTACCAAAAAGAAAACAATACGACACAAATTTGATATTAAGTTCTACATCCCACGTCAACGAGCAATGACGAAAATTTTATATTTTTACGGCGTCTCATCATATACCCAAAAAGTATGAATTCCTTGTTTCAACATCGGTTGTAGCTGGCCTAAGTATGCTCCGAGAAAATAGATGTGTTCCATTTTTTTACCTTATTTTGTACGTTTTAGTATTCTGTATATTATTCATTTTCAGTGAAACATAAATACGATCTTTCGAAAAAAAAAAGTGATTGTTTTCATCTACACTGGAAAAGCTTTTAGGATATAAGCATAAAGCTTGGATATTCTGATTTCTTTTTATCTATAATTTATTGCTAGGACATTACATTCCACGATCATTCATGCTTTTTAAGCCATCTGAGGCGCCAATACAACGGTATTTTTGGAGGCCAGAAAATGTAAGAGGTAAGTGCAACTTCGATTGATCATTTCTGTACACTATTTACTTTTAAAATTCCGCGCCACTTATCATTTTCGTGACGTCATTATAATTTTGTCATATAAAGAGATGGAATACAAAACAATAATGAAGATAATAATGCCGTAAGCGTATTTAAACGGTTTCCAGTCGCGTGGACTCTTTTCTGCTGATCCTACCTTTGAGCTGTGTACATGGGTGTACTATCGATATCCTCCTCGCAAGAAACAACGCACAAATAGTCACCAATCCCTGGATATTTGCTTTCTAGCTGAATGCCAAGTCTGTGCCACAATTCCAAAGCAAGTCCTACGCAAGTGTAATGGTCAGGCGTTATTGGTGGTGTATACCTGAAAATTTATACCTTCTCTAGTATTCTACACTATCTATTTTATAAACGCTGTAGCTTAAACCAGATACACGGTGTGACATAATATTATTTATTACATACTAAGAAAATAAAAGGTCAGATTCAGCTCGTCACAATATGAAAAAAGTTCATATAAAATATAGGTCTAGAAATACTTTGTTTTCATAATATAGAATAATTTGTGCGTTAATAGTTCATGTTACATTTCTTGAAAAAACATTGGGATGAGTTTTCGTACATGCAAATGTTTTATCAAAGGTCATTTGTACAAAGTTGTCTCCAAGTCTCTGTATGTTTACCGAAACAGCACCACTGGTCTTTGTAAAAAAATTTAAATCTTACAACCAAATTTATCGTTATTAAAAGAATTGTAATCGAACTGGTAAAGTTTTACGACATTAGGCAACATCGTGTGAACAGTGAAAATCATTTACGGTTGAGGTGGGCCTGTTTCAACGACTAAGAGAGAGAGAGAGAGAGAGAGAGAGAGAAGCGTGCAAAACGTGCCAACTTTGCATACCTTCATGTAATACGTATTTTTCAGACTAGTTAAAGAACTTTGAGCGTTGCTGGGTCAAGTGTACCGTGCTAAAAGGAAACGAAAGGAAAATTTTCGTTTTTCTTTTGTAAGATAACTACTTATCGATCAGCCCACGTAATCACCGCGTTGCCTGCCAACGACAATGAGGAGGGTTACGGAACACTATAACACACGTTTCTACCGCTTCTCTCTCGCACAAATTGAAATTCGGCCGACCTCAACCGTAAATGATTCGCACGATATGTAAAAAAATACATACATCCTGAAGAATTCGAGGACATTGGTGCATCCGCTCTTCTTGAAAGCATCGTAGAAAGCTAATAAATTTCCTATGGTGTCGTAGTTGTGCTCTTCAAGTAACTTGCGTACATGCATCTCTATTTCACAAGCCAAAGATTCGTATTCCCTTATATCGCTGTAAAAAAAACACAAACATTTGAAAATATTCATAATCAACAAAAAGCTGATAAATCATATTTTTTAGTATAAGATTATTTGAGAACCTGAGGAGTGTAGAAAATTTGCCAACATCCTTACGATTTTTTGTTAATATTTAGTCAAGCAGAGGTCATTTTTATACAGGGTGATTCATAAAAACGGGTAAGCAGTTCTAAACTTGATTTAAGGGCATAGGTCTTATACATATATCTCACTACCAAGATACAGGGTGTTGTACATTTCTACGCCACTGATGAGACTGAATCTGGACAAAACATGAGCATTGTTCAAATAACGATGTGGCGAGAATACTACTCTCCTAATAAGCTACTTACAATTTTCAATGTTAAACTTTATTAACTTTGCCTAAGCTTCAGAGTACAACAGCAGGGTTATTGCGACAGAAACATATATAATATATATAAAAAAAATATAAAATGTCAACTTGTTGACTAAGTAGGATGGTGTGCAAATATATTTATTCTCCTATAGGATTCAAAAATTACCGAATGTCTACGCCATTAATGATGTGGTCTCGGACACGAACATTTTTGTATGTATTGGCTCTTAGTACTATAAGTACAACCGTTTAAGTCAATATCTTAGCACACTCAGAAGATATAATTTTATCGACCTCAAAATTTTATAATCCAGGCTTTTCGTGATATTTTTCTACTTCATAACTGCTGCCACGATTTTTTGAATCCTCTGTATATTGCAAAATATTGGATACCTTTCGGCAAGGAGCCTATATACCAGGGCAGTGCTCGATGCTGCGAGTACCAGTGGTGCTTTGACAGGGTTGCCATGTTGAGGGACTTTCCCGGGAATTTGGGGGATTTTTACTTAGGTAATTTCTTGGGGATATAATGTTCTGGGGGAAATCACACGTTTCTCGTATAGAAAGCATCTGCCTCGCTCTTGAACTAAACTTAACTGTGATTTGGGTGTTTTTTTTAAGTAGCAATTCTGAGGGATTTTTGTGCGTGTTCTTGGAAAATTATCACAGACCCATTTGGCAACACTGTGCTTATGAGCACTTTCTTTATACCCGTTTTATATTAATAAATCCACGGATTTCTCCAAGAATTGAATTCATGGCCAAATTTCAAAAGTTTAAAACAGAAATTTGACGTCAAATAAACCCATGAAGTTCTAATTTTTGCCAAGTTCGTCGCCAAATAGAACTCCAGTATTCAATGCAATATGGTTTCTGTTTATGAGATTCGCGTCAAAATCAAAACTACAATACATATAAAAATTTTAAATGTTTATGAAAAAAATTTGTTCTGTGGTTGAAAGCACTGTAGACTGACAGATAAATCTATGAATTTGTTCATTGAATTAAATAATCAGGGTGCTGTTGAAGAAATCCATCTGAATAAATTCGTGTAGAAATTTTTGATGTAAAAATGGTATTCTAAAATCCGACTGCTTGAATCTGCAGGTATCTGTGTTTCGATAAAACTTGTGGATCACCCTGTATAGGCTCCATGCTCTCCGGAATTACGATCCGAAATGGTTCAGTAAAATTACGCTTTCTTCGCAAAAAATTATTATGGTTATTTTTTACATAGCAAGTCTAACATCCCTGGGCTATTCCAAATAATCGTAATTTCAGTGATACGCGACTATTCTGAAAAAAGTATCCTATGACTTACCCGAGTTGGAATGTTGGCATGGGCCCCTCTCTCCATAGAGGCAACGGCAAGGGATGTTCCGGAGGCCAGGGGCCGGCTCGCTGGTCTTCTGCGATGGCAGGATTAACGGCTAAAGGGCCATCGGTAATGGCCCCGTCGAGACCGGCACTGGACCCTAGGGGCAGGGTCCTCTTCCCGGCGACCTCCGGTAGAGGCTCGGGCGACAGACTGGGACTCCAGGCGGGTGCCAGATCGAGTCAACTTGGCCATTCGCAGCCCCAACGGCCCACGGTTGGTTCCATGGATCTGGATAAGGCAAAACGTTATTTAAAAACAACCGGCTGCTAAAATTATTTTGAATTTTTCCTTGAAGTGACCTTCAAATGTCCTCATAGTGGCTGACCACAGAATAAGTAAACCAGAAGGTACACTCAGGCAAACTCTTCAGATTGAGTATTCCGTATAGGTTCGGACTTGATTAGCGACGTGCTTACCTGTCAGAACTGGTCTCTTCGATGGGCAACAGCGCCTGCGCAAGGGCGCTGGCAGCAGCACAGCTGCCATTGTGTACAGCGGCATTTTGCTCAGCTGTACACAGTGTATTTAGTAACGGTTGTATATCACGCTCTGAAAGAAAAAACTTTATTACAAATCAGGAACTCACTATTTAAACTTAAATATTAATGTAGTCTAAGATCGGCAGGGTTATTACGAAAACTTATATAATGTAAAAAAGGATAAAAGCGCCCATGGTTATTAGGCTCAGTTTTTATATAAAATTTAGTTACTAATCATTTGTAATATGATTTCACTTTGCCCAATGAGGTGTTTCGCTCTATTGTATATTAATTAATTCCTGTAACGATAGCAGAAAGCTTAGTACGTGGCTTACAGTTTGTTATTAAAGTACTTTTGACATTATTACTAAAAAAAATAAATTATCTCTTCTTAAATATTAAATATTTTATTTTCAACGCAATATATGAAACTTATCCTGCTGATAAATCCCCATGTTTTTTTGGCTGCCAAATGAAACTACAGATGCATGAAGTTGATAACAACAAAAACATAAACACGCCAAAATGTCTAGACTGCATAATGCATATGTTGTGAATTCAAGCCAAATCACAGATGGATCATTATACAGGGTTATCCAAATTAAGTGTCCACCATTAGTAACTTTGTTATTAGTGAAAATACAAAGTTGTTTGAATTAGCAAACTAGTAGCATTTTTAACGCTGGTAAAAATGAGAAATAAAAAAAAACAATTGAGAGTCGTTATTTTGATTTTTTTCAGTAAAATAACATTTTTTTAAATGGAAACCCCTGTATATTATATGTTTTTCTGTTAAAGCATCAAATTTTAAACAAAAAAGTTCATAATGACTTTTCCGCTAAAGTCAAAAATAAAGTCAAAATAACGATAAATATTTTTAATTATTTGCAGTATTATAATATTAAGACGGCTATGAAAACAACATGGCGTTCGCGATTTGACAGCATTAAGATAAGCGACAAATTGTTAAACTGGACATACTCGCAACAAGAAGGCTTTGGAAAACAATGATAAAATCAAATAATGTCAAACATTAGTGTAAATACTTGTTTATAAGCTTTATTGTGTCATTAATTTAAAGAAAAATGTTCTCCCATGAAGAAAAGTGTGATATGTTAGAATGCTATTTAGTGTGCAGAAAATCCTCCTTGAGAGCAAGAATTATATCCCGCTCGCATTCAACCGTATGAACGATATTTTCTGAGACTTTATCGAAAATTTAGGGGCAACGAAAATGTTTTTGCTAAAACAAGGGCAAAAAAAGAATTCATAATAAGCGAGGCCACGGAAATTGCAGTTATTGGATATTTTGAAGCTTATCGTGAGAATTCAATAGCAGATATTCTCAAGGACTCTAATTTCAGTTATGGTACTGTTCAAAGGATTTTAAAAAAATACAAATTTATTCCGTATAAGTACCGACCAGTTCAAACGCTTTTGGCAGGGGATCCAGAGAGAAGACTTGTTTTTTGCCATTGGTATCTTAGCTTCTGTCGCCAAAATGTAAATAACTTTCGTTACCTTTTATGGACAGATGAATCAAATTTTTCAAATTCTGGAATGTTTAATAGAAAAAACCACCATTATTGGTCAAGAGAAAATCTTTTGTTAGTACATCCAAGAGGCCCACAAGTCCGTTTCAGTTTCAACGTTTGG